AGACTGAAAAATTAAATTTAAGATGGAAAGTTTAAGAATTGGCATAAAACGAAATGACATCTAAGTAAAACTAAAAAGGGTCAAAACTGCATGTAAAGTGTGAGTGGAGAAGGAAAAATGTGACAGGCTCTCAGCACAGAGCATTAGCAGCTGACAGGAGCAAAAAGCTACCACATCCTATAAATAAAAGCTTTTGCGGTCTCCACAATGGCTTTTCCCACAGCCTTTCCTCTCTCCGCTGCTCTGTTGGTTGGTAGCAAAAAGTTGCAAAAGGCAATCAGGCAGAACTTTGTATAGCAAGATGAAAAACAACAACAACAACCACGGGTGAAATATATAGTGTTAATAAAGGTGCAAAAGGAAAGAGGAGGATCGGGCTTACCTGATTTGAAATTGTATTTTACAGCTCGGCGTTCGGTTTGGAGAAAAGAAGGGGTGAGAACTGAGAACTGGAAAGCCTTTAGAGTTGGAAGGACATGACCTGAAATTTGGGTGTCATGGATATTTGTGGCATGATATTTGTGGCATGATAAAGTCAAGGTTTGAGGTTTGGAATTTTTTTTTTTTTTTTAAAATTGCCCTCAAGCCAGAAACACCAAGATGCTTCCGAGTTGAGAGGATCACCATTGCCCTGGGAATGCCCAGTTGGAGGCTCCTTTTATGTCCCGGGCAGGAGCTGGAGCGAAGGACGGGAGCTCAACTCTGCTTGATGGCAGCATCCCAACCACTTGAGCCACCGTGTTCCCAAGTCAAGTTTAATGTAAAATTTAAAGATTACTATATTAGACATAATATTTATCAATCCAGGTTGTGCCCCAAAACATCTTTGTGACTTTTAGAAGAGGAAGCATTTTATAGATGAGAAATAATAGGCAAAAAAAAAGGTATAGCTAACATACTGGGGAAATACTAGAATTCTGTCAAAGAAAATACAAAAAATAAAATCAAGAGTTTAGCTAGTATATTTAGCTCCCTTGTTCCATTGTGACGTCTATTAGTCAAAAGTATCAGAGTAGCCAAAAGAACATGTAAACATACTGTGACCCATTCCAATTAGTTATTTTCACCTGATCTACATTTCTGTTTCTGCAAATGTTTGCCAAACTCAGGTTTGGCTGTCTTCCAGAAACAATTCATAGAAATGTGAGTAGCATCTAGGAGTTGGAAAGATTGGTATAGTTTGACTATGTAGCTTGAAGAAGAGAAGACCTACTTAGCCTGCTGAGAAATCAGTGTACTTTCCATGCCCCCATATTTTATCAGCTCTTTACTTAAAGAATAGTGTTCTGTCTTTACTTAAAGAATAGTGTTCTGTGTGCAGCTTGACATGCAGCTAAACCCACCTATCCTCCAATAAAACAGACCGTGTGCGTAGATCTGGATGCTTTATTAAAGGAACAGGATGGGTGAAACTGGGAAAAATAGAAATACATACAATGAGAACCCAAATACAAGATTGTGTGTTTGTGTGTGTGTATGTATATATACATACACACGTTATGACAAATGGTGTGCAAATATTTGTTTCTATGTGTCTATTTATGGCTAATTTAGCTAAATGCCAAGTTCCTTTCTGTGTGTGTTTTCTTTAATTTAAATTAATCTAGGATGCTCACAGTTTTCTATATGAAACTATGGTTAAATCTGTCCATTTGTTGTGAGATTAAGGAGTTTTCATCGGTTCTTCTGACTGTTAGTTGGTGTTCATGGATGTGCTCTGCTAGTCTTCTGCCAGTCTGTCCTACACAGTGGCTGTTAATGAAGTCTTGTTTTCTTTAGTTCCAAGGTGGTCTTTTATCATATAAATCATATCACTTGTGAAGCTGTTCAGGATCCCCATTAGGAAGATATGAAGAAGCCCCCTCCTCTGGAGCCTTTTCAGACGAGAAAAGAGAGGTAGCTGGGATGGCTGCAGAAGGATGAGAGAGAAGTATAAAAGAAAATGGAAACAGCAACAGCCTCCATTCTCACCTTCCTGTCCTCCAACCAGCTCAAGCAAGTGGCAAAATAAATTTGAAAGGAAATGCTCTGAGAATGGGGAAGTCCACTGATGCTTCTTTCTTAAGGAAGAGAGATTTCAGCACACAGTAAATGCAAATGCAAGTGAACCTTTGCGGTTTAAAACAACAAAAGAAGAAGGCTCTTCTAACATTTGTATTCCTGTTTCTTGAGATGTCTCAGTGCCAAATTTCTTTTTAAAAATTTTGTGCAAATGTTACGGATACATTTTCTTTTGGGGGGGGCATGGTGAGCTCCTAACTTTTAAATGGCATGTCTGGTCATTTAATTAGCTTTGCTGGTAAGAATAATCATTCTGAAACCTTCCAGAAGTTCTTGGTGATTTTCAGAACACAATGCTCCCCACCATCTGGCCTTAACCAGCTCCACATGATGTTTTTCACTGATATGTCATCAAGGTTTATTAATTCAGGAAATGACAAACACCCTTACTTATGCATACCTTTTTTTCATTTTTGCATATTTTTAAAACCTTAGCTTTAAGATTTAAACCTATCCTTTCTGGATTCTTTTTTTCCTCCTGTGTGATACTGTAATACATCAACATCCAGCTGTAGTTTGTTAGTGCTAATTTGGTAAATATCTTGCTTCTATAGGAAAAACAAAATCTCTCATTACTATTTCAGTTTCAAAATGTAGATGGGGAAATGGATTATTATTAAACATGCCCTATATCTAATTCTCTCTGCTGTGGGATCTGAGACAAGAAACATTTTCTTTTTAATCTGCAGTCTCTCTTCTTCTGGCTGGCTTATGTTTATTTTCCCTTTTCCATTCATTTTTTAAATCCGTGCTTAATATTCTTTTACTTATCAAGGGGTTCCATTTGCTTTTTACCTTAACATCACTTGTGAACTGCCAAGCTCACGTATAAAAGCCCTATTTGATATTACCTAATCCAATCGTGATTTGTTGATCACTCTGATAATATTTTGATCTGATAAAATGTCACCACAATCTGACTGCACAGAATTGCTTTTTAACTCGAATAGAATAGAATAGAATAGAATAGAATAGAATAGAATAGAATAGAATAGAATAGAATAGAACTGGAAGGGATCTTGGAGGTCTTCTAGTCCAGCCCCCTGCTCAAACAGGAGGACCTACACCAGGGGTGTCAAATTCGCAACGTCATGTGACGTGTCACGATGTATTGCGACTTTTTCTCCATTGCTGGCAATGGGGTGGGCGTGGTTTCGGCATGATACATCTGGCCCATGGGCTGGCAGTTTTGACACCCCTGACCTATACCATCTCAAACAAGTGACTGTCTAGCCTTTTTAAAAAAAATCTCCAGTGATGGAGTGCCCACGATTTCTGGAGGCAAGCTGTTCCACTGGTTAATTGTCCTCACTGTCAGGAAGTTTCTCCTTAATTCCAGATTGCTTCTCTCTTTGAATAACGTGACCCCCTCTTCTTTGTGGCAGCCCCTCAAATACTGGAATACTGCTATCATGTCTCCCCTATTTCTTCTTTTCTTTAGACTAGCCAAACCCAAGTCCTGCAGCCATTCTTTGTATGTTTTAGTCTCCAGGTCTTGGATCATCTTAGTTGCTCTTCTCTGAATTTTTTCCAAACTCTCAACATCTTTTTTGTGATATGGTGACCAAAATTGGCTGCAGTATTCCAGGTGTGGTCTTACTAGGGCTTTATAAAGCGATACTAATACTTCATGTGATCTTGAGTCCATGCCTCTGTGTATACAACCCAGGTGTGTATTAGCTTTTTTTAGCTGCTCTGCATGTTTCATAAACTCCACCTATCTTGAATCAGAATTTATTTCCTTGCATCCACCTTATTTATCGTATGTAGTCATGAACAATTATATTTTATTTTAATATATTTCTCAATAATCTCTGGTTGCAAAGAAAAGGCTATGGCTGCAAAGAAACTTTACAGAACCAAGATAATGCCCAGGTTTTTCCGCTAATTTAAAATGCAAAATGGGGAATTCACCAATCAGGCAGACGAGAGTTTTACGTTAGAGTTCATCAGAAGAGACAGAAGAGTGGAACAACTAAGGAACAGGAGACTGCTGATATTGCTGCTGCTGTTTCCGGATTGCTGTTTTTTGTTGCTTGACTGCTCTGATTAATCACTGTGCTATTGATTGCTGTTGATGTGCATTGGAGTTGGAACATTGAGCATATAGAAAAACTCCAAACAATTACAAGTATTTGGACAGTGAGGGAAGCCTTGTGGTGATCTCCAAGGAAAAGGCAATACTTGTCTTCCTGCCTAAAGAGAACCAAAAACTGAAGCTACTGGAAATGCAAGTTTGTGTCTTTCTTGGAGGAGATGTAAGAAGGGCTTGAAAAGAGAGGTTCTACACTACATCTTACCCAAGACAGGTGAGAAATTCTGGAAAGGGGAGGTGAATTAAATGCCACCGAACATGAAGAAAACAAACACAAGCATGTAGCTGAGAGACAGAATAGAATTAGAAGGTACTCTGTGTCAATGGAACTTAGTAGCAGTGTCTTGTTGTAGAATTCAGACCTCAGATATCTGAGCAGCCTTACCAAGCCCAGTTCCATTATAAGAAATGGGAAAAAATAGAGAAGGCCCTTAAATAAAAAAGAAAGAAAATAGAACAAGAGAAAGTGCCCTCTCCTCCCTCCAAAATCCAAAATGGAAATTGTTTTATTTTCTCACAAAGAGGCAGAGAAAACCATGCTTCGTTTGTACAGAATAATAGCTCCCACAAATGCCAGCTTCTCAATCTGTTCTGACATATTACACTTTCTCTTTCTGTCCTTTGGTCCCTTCCTACTAAATCCCAGGGAACATTTCAGACCAAACATTCCATAGAATTCCACTGGTCCATAGCTGAAATACGCAAATATGATGTTCAAGTGAAATTTAGAATGTGTCTCTTGTATATATGGTGTTCAGGGTTAGATTATTCAAGATTTGTCATGGCTTATTATTTTATTTATCTAAGAACATGATGAAATTCATAGGAGTTTTGTTTGGAGCTCTTTTTCACTTTCAGATATAGATTTTAATGCTATATGAACAGTCTCAGGTTAGATAAAATGCATGTTAAAAAAAGACAATTTCTAAATTTCAGCTATGTGCAGAAATACATTTTTCACAATTTAGATTACTAATGTTAAAGGTTCAGATATAATTAAATGAACAGTATTGTAAGATTTTTATGTTATCAATTAATCTACCTGAAATTTTATTATAGGGCAAATGATCTGAAATGTCAGAAAAACTTCATAAAATTATAACATTTTATCACATATTATGAATGTATTTTGTCATAAAATGGAACCTAATCCAGAAATATTATTCGGCTTTTCTGAGTAGAAATATTAGCAAACTGAAAGGTGAATTGAATAATAATTCAAGGTTAATTGTTTTGTTTGTCTGGCAATGGTTTCTCAAGCTTTTAAAAACAAAGATAGTTTTCCAAAATACAGCTTTGTCCAAACTAAAAACAGTAACTAAATTTATCTGGGGCTAAAGATAACAGTAGGTCCCTCCCATAGAGTCTCTTTAAAAAAAATAATGGTTTCAAGGGCACAATTATAAAAAGAAATGTTCATAACATGAATTTACAGATATGTGTACACACAGTGTAAATAGTTGGGGTTCCAGGCAGAAGCATGAGGATTCCCCCCCCTTACTATACTGTACTTTACTCTAGACCTACTGAATCAGGATGACATTGCTAAGTAAAAATTGGTGAGAATAGTGGATCACAGCAAAACCAATCATTTTTCAACATCAATACTAAGTATCCCATTAGAGATCAAAGATACATACAGGCCTCTTTTTTTGTCATAGAACGCCCAGAACGTTCCGGCAACTTTTTGGGATGGAACCTTGTAGGGTAGGCAAGGCCGGTTGTATGACATATGTGAGTTCCAGCACCTTTTTTTTTTTTTTTTTTTACAAAAAAAAGCATTGGATACATATATGAGTAAACTATTGCACTCCATGAAATAGTTTATCCAAAAGTTGATGGGATGACTTTGGGAGCACTCTTGGTTCTCTGGGTTTCTCTGCTGATTTCATAGAGGAAACATTTTAAGGATTTATGTCTTGCTTTATAATTCAGTGATGCCCAAGGAGACTTATAGCATGATCAAATCTACTCAGCAATTCTTGACTGGCCTGCGGCAGGAATACTCTTTCCTTGTTTATGTGATCCAATTGATCATTGGGGCACGGGGGAAAACACTGTGCAATTAGGACCAGGTAACCTTCCCAGTTCTGCACTGTTGTTCATGTGACAAAGCAGCTTCAAGTTCTAGGCGACGAGTCTCCTTAGTTGTTTCTTCTGTTGAGATAAATAGGTAGAGCCATTCACACAAAGGAGTTGTACTACCAACATCTTCACACATTTTATTGCCTAAAATTTAAAGGTAAGGTGGTGTCTCCACCCATTCCATCAATAGAAAGAAACCTGACCAGTACATATTCCTTCAACACTAGCAGAGGGACATGATGAGCTTTTCCCATGCATGACATAATGGATCAGCTTTGCGGTGATGCTTTGCCTATCAATTCCCCTACCAATTTAGGGGAAGAACCTAGATGTTCTGCCATCACTTCCAGCAACTGCCCAGTACTGGCTATTTGGGGAGATTGCTTCCCTCTGCCTTATGACAGAATTGGTTTTTGCAGATTTACTCAAGCAAGTTGACCTGAAAATCTGAACTTTGGTCCTTTATATTAATAAATAGAGCAGAAACTGACAGTAGAAGGCTTCAGGGTACGGTACTTCTGACAATTGGAACATTAGGAGAGATTGTGTAGCTTTTTAATATTGTGTCTACAGCATTTAATCAAGCTTTCTCAGATACTGAGCAAAAGTCTAGTGTCATTCTGGAAGAAGGGCTCCTGTGGCTCATTATTTTCAATTATTATTTTCTATCTGGGCATGAATAACGCTAAGGGGAATCCACTAGTGTAGCTTAATTTTTCACATAAGACGCGGAAATGTAAAGCTAATTTTCTCACAGGAAATTAAATGACCTCTAATTTTGCATCTCATTTAAAATGTCCCTCTGTACCCCAAATCTTGTATGGTAATGATGCTGAGCAGGAATAGAGTTCTGGTCTTACCAAAATTAATAAAATCCTATTAATAGTGGCCCTGACCTTTTATTATTTTTTTCTCCTGATGTAAGCAAAACTTCTGGCATGCTTCCAGTTGGCCAAATGTCTTTTGACCAGTGTGTTACCAAAAGGCACAACAATTTACCACATACTTCAGCACCATTGTCCTCCAAATCTTGTTATATTGCAAATTATAATGGTTTCTACTCTACCTATGGGATTATTTGTTCAGAGGACATGTACTTGTTTCATTCTATCCATGAAGGGATGTTCCTCATCAGATCAAAAAAGGATATTCAGAAACAGTAATAGTCACCCCATTCATGTGGAATATGCCGGGCTCAACATTTCACAGAGCAACAAAAATTTCTCTTCGTAAGACCACTTAGAGGTTAAAAGATATTGTATAGATCATTTCTAACCTTCATATATGTTTCTCTCACCTCTAGTTCAAATATTTGTCTGAAATGGTATTGGCTTTCCTACCTGAGCAGGAGGTTGGACTTGACCTTCAAGGTCCCTGTTTTTCTCTTCTCTTCTCTTCTCTTCTCTTCTCTTCTCTTCTCTTCTCTTCTCTTCTCTTCTCTTCTTTTGTCTGTATTCTGTTACTGTATATTTTTTGTTTTGATTGCCATTATAGTATTATTTTTATTTAGATGCTAATTGCCTGGCCCCTTTATGGATTACTGCCTTGTCGTGGCGAAGGGGCTTGCGTAACTCAATGAAGCTATAAGCTATGCCGTGCAGGGCCACCCAAGACGGACAGGTTATAGCAGAGAGTTCTGACAAAATGTGATCCACTGGAGAAGGAAATGGCAAACCACTCCAGTATCTTTGCCATGAAAACCCCATGGACAGTACTAAAAGGAAAAAGATATGACACTGGAAGATGAGCCCCTCAGGTCGGAAGGTGTCCAATATGCTACTGGGGAAGAGCAGAGGGCTAGTACTAGTAGCGCCAGAAAGAGTGAAGCGACTGGGCCAAAGCCGAAAGGACGCTCAGCTGTGGATATATCTGGTGGTGAAAGGAAAGTCCGATGCTGTAAAGATTTTTTCTCCATAGGAACCTGGAATGTAAGATCCATGAATCAAGGCAAGCTAGACGTAGTCAAAAAAGAGATGACAAGACTGAACATCGACATCTTAGGAATCAGCGAACTAAAATGGACAGGAATGGGTGAATTTAACTCAGATGACCATCAGGTATACTACTGTGGGCAAGAATCCCTCAGAAGAAATGGAGTAGCCTTCATAGTCAATAAAAGAATAGGAAAAGCAATACTGGGATACAATCCCCAAAATGACAGAATGATCTCAATTCGAATCCAAGGCAAACCATTCAATATCACAGTAGTCCAAATCTATGCCCCAACCACTGGTGCTGAAGAGGATGAAATTGACCGGTTCTATGAAGCCCTACAGCACCTTATAGAATTAACACCAAAAAATGATGTCCTTATCATCATGGGGGATTGGAATGCTAAGGTAGGAAGCCAAAAGATAACCGGAATAACAGGCAAGTTTGGCCTTGGAGTACAAAATGAAGCAGGGCACAGGCTAATAGAATTTTGTCAAGAGAATACGATGGTCATAACAAACACTCTTTTCCAACAACCCAAGAGACGGCTCTACACATGGACATCACCAGACGGTCAACATAGAAATCAGATTGACTATGTGCTCTGCAGCCAAAGATGGAGAAGCTCTATACAGTCAGTAAAAACAAGACCAGGAGCTGACTGTGGCTCAGATCATGAGCTTCTCGTTGCAAAATTTAGGCTTAAATTGAAAAAAGTAGGGAAAAGCACTAGGCCACTCAGGTATGAACTAAATCATATTCCTGATGAATATACAGTAGAGGTGACAAATAGATTTAAGGAATTAGATCTGATAGACAGAGTGCCTGAAGAACTATGGATGGAAGTTCGCAACATTGTACAAGAGGTAGCAACTAAAACCATCCCAAAGAAAAAGAAATGCAAGAAAGCAAAATGGCTGTCTGAGGAAGCTTTGCAAATAGCTGAGGAAAGAAGGGAAGCGAAAGGCAAAGGAGAAAGAGAAAGATACACCCAATTGAATGCAGAATTCCAGAGAGTAGCTAGAAGAGATAAGAATGCCTTCTTAAATGAACAGTGCAAAGAAATAGAAGAAAACAACAGAATAGGGAGGACCAGAGATCTCTTCAAGAAAATTGGAGATATGAAGGGAACGTTTCATGCAAAGATGGGCATGATAAAGGACCTAACAGAGGCAGAAGAGATTAAGAAGAGATGGCAAAACTACACAGAAGAACTATACAAGAATGAGCTTAACATCCCAGATAACCACAATGAGATGGTCATTGACCTCGAACCAGACATCCTAGAATGTGAAGTGAAATGGGCCTTAGAAAATCTGAGCAACAACAAAGCTAGTGGAGGTGACAGTATTCCAGCTGAGCTATTCAAAATCTTAAAAGACGATGCAGTAAAAGTGCTACACTCAATTTGCCAGCAAATTTGGAAAACTCAACAGTGGCCACAGGATTGGAAAAGGTCAGTTTACATTCCAATTCCAAAGAAAGGCAATGCCAAAGAATGTTCAAACTATCGCACCATTGCACTCATTTCACATGCTAGTAAAGTTATGCTTAAAATCCTACAAGCTAGACTCCAGCAGTATGTGGATCGAGAACTACCAGAAGTACAGGCAGGATTTCGAAGAGGCAGAGGAACCAGAGATCAAATTGCCAACATACGCTGGATCATGGAGAAAGCTAGGGAGTTCCAGAAAAACATCTACTTCTGCTTCATTGACTATGCAAAAGCCTTTGATTGTGTGGATCACAACAAATTGTGGCAAGTTCTTAAAGAGATGGGAGTACCAGACCATCTCATCTGTCTCTTGAGAAACCTATATGCGGGTCAAGAAGCAACAGTGAGAACCGAACACGGAACCACTGATTGGTTCAAAATTGGAAAAGGAGTCCGGCAAGGCTGTATACTGTCACCCTGCCTATTTAACTTATATGCAGAGCACATCATGAGAAAGGCAGGGCTAGATGAATCAAAAGTTGGAATTAAGATTGCCGGGAGAAATATCAACAACCTAAGATATGCAGATGATACCACTCTAATGGCAGAAAGTGAAGAGGAACTAAAGAGCCTCTTGATGCGGGTGAAGAAGGAGAGTGCAAAAGTTGGCTTGAAACTCAACATTAAGAAAACCAAAATCATGGCATCCGGCCCTCTCAATTCCTGGCAAATAGATGGGGAAGAAATGGAGGTAGTGACAGATTTTATTTTTCTGGGCTCCAAGATCACCTCAGATGGGGACTGCAGCCAAGAAATTAAAAGACGCTTGCTCCTGGGGAGGAAAGCTATGGCAAATCTAAACAGCATTCTAAAAAGCAGAGACATCACCCTGCCAACAAAAGTGCGTATAGTCCAGGCCATGGTTTTCCCAGTTGCAATGTATGGCTGTGAAAGTTGGACCATAAGAAAGGCTGAGCGCAAAAGAATTGAGGCCTTTGAACTATGGTGCTGGAGAAGACTCCTGCGAGTCCCTTGGACTGCAAGGCGTTCAAACCGGTCAGTCCTAGAAGAGATCAACCCCGACTGCTCTTTAGAAGGCCAGATCCTGAAGTTGAAACTCAAGTACTTTGGCCACCTAATGAGAAGGAAGGACTCACTGGAGAAGAGCCTAATGCTGGGAAAGATTGAGGGCAATAGAAGAAGGGGACGACAGAGAATGAGATGGCTGGATGGAGTCACTGAAGCAGTAGGTGTGAATTTAAATGGACTCCAGAAGATGGTAGAGGACAGGAAGACCTGGAGGAACATTGTCCATGGGGTCGCGACGGGTCGGACACGACTTCGCAATTAACAACAACAACAACAATTGCCTGGAATCTCTAGAGATGGGTGATATATAAATATAAGAAATAAATAATAATAATCCTCAACTGCGGAAAAGATTTCTAACCTAAGGTGATTGAAAAGCATTTAAACAAAATCCAACAGGTCAGATTCTGGGAGCAACAGGATAAGCAGCTTCTCTCCGATCGGAAAGTGCCTTGGGCTGGCTTGGGTTTTCATATCAAAATGATAGACAGATAAGCAATTAGGGCCAACTATAAAAATAAAAACACATTGAGTCAAAAGTGGAGCACAGCTAGCTACAAAATAGTTTGAAATCGACCAGCTGCTTTATTGTCTTAATAAGCAAGCAAACTTTCCAACATTTCATGCATAACAAACTCATCATTTGCATTTATCCAGAAGTAGAGTAGAGAGGTCCCCAGAGAACAGCTGTGGCATAGGCTAGGCATGCTAAAAAAAAAAAAAAATCAGTTATCAAGATGCTTAGTGCTACAAATGACACATCTCATAGGTTTCATTAACTGAATTTATTCTGTATTTCTACTTTTTTAAAAAGTCAAAACAGAAATTCCATCCAGGGAAATTGCTTTGCAAAAAGAAATGCTAAAAGGCTTTGCACCTGACCAAAATAAACAAAAGAACAAAATTATATCAGGAGTACAAATGAACTGCTAAAGTGACAGCCTGTTTTGTTGCTTTATATAGCTATGAATACAAATAGTGGAAACACTTGTAGGTGTGGAGAAAATGTGCAACACAGTTGTATAAATATATTTTTTTTCTGGAGAACAAACCAGATCATTTTAGTTCAAGTGCATTGTTTATTATTTCTAGTAAAATGCCCATATTGATGGTGGTATGGAAGGGCACACATTCAGAGACACCTCAAAGGATAAGTTTGCCAAACAAAGATGTCCCACTGAACTTTTCTCCATCCAGCAGTTCTGCAGTGCTGTTCTTTGTCAACTACATCTAGCTAACCTCATATGGGGTGGATGGATTTCTTTGTTTATTTGTACAAAACTGTATGTACTGCCTGCCTTGGAATCAAGATTATTTGTAAACGTATCAGAAACTTTACGCCCAACCTATTCACAAGTCGGTGGCTGTGGAGGAAAATGGGAAGATAGAGCTTTGCCTGCCACCTTGAGTTCCTGAACTTTTAAAAAGTAGGATACAAGTCTCACAAACTAATAACTACTAAATGACATTTAAAATATCGCAAAATCCAAATGCACAGCAGAATAATTAAGTCTTGAAAACCATCCTTAGTGTAGAATTAGGTTGGGTGCACTTTGTCCCTCAGGAGACAAAATAGTCTGATGTGTGATTGTCACTACTAAGAAAATATATGGTTGGACCCCCTACCTTTACCAAATCACATTATAAAGGTTTCCAGTCCAGGCTTGGCTTTGCCCCCATTGGGGTAAACAGCAACCAATATAGGGGAAAATAAAGGATAGAGCTGAAGAAGATCCAACATGTTTCTCTGCCTCAAAAGCTCTAAGGTTTCTCATTCATTTCTACAGAATGGGTAATTGTCAACTGTCCATGAAATAAATGGATACCACTGCATGCCTTTGGTGAAGGAAATCCACATGTATCTGGTTGGAGAATGTTCAACTTGCATTATTTATTTGTTTGTTTGTTTGTTTGAGGGTGAAGGTCCATTCTCCAAGCTTGTGGGTTGTTTTCTCAACGTTTCGTTACCAGGCTAGGTAATATCTTCAGCAGAGTCTAGGGCAGGGGTAGGCAACCTCGGCTCTTTTATGACTCATGGACTTCAACTCCCAGAAGTCCTGCTATGCTAACTCAGGACTTCTGAGAGTTGAAGTCCATGAGTCATAAAAGAGCTGAGGTTGCCTACCCCTGGTCTAGGGGATGTCCTAAACTCCGCTGAAAATGTGATCTAGCCTGGTAACGAAACATTCAGAAAACAACCCACAAGCTCGGAGAACGAACCTTCACCCTCATTGTACACCAGAGCTACAGATATTCTCAATTCATTCATTCATTCATTCATTCATTCATTCAATCAGTACACTGCCAGTCTCACCTAAGTGATTCTGGGCAATTTACAACAATTTGAATAAAGGCATAAATATTTTGTCACTAACTACTCTTTAGACTCATTTAGTTTGCATTCTAAAAGGGCCTTGTTTTTTTGTTACTCATTTAAGTTTTTGTTTTTGATAGATTAAGATGTTTAGTGAAGCAGCTGGAGAAAGGCGATGTTAACGTGGCTGAACTGAAGAAGAACATCGAATATGCAGCGTCTGTTCTGGAGGCAGTATACATTGATGAAACCAGGTGAGAGTTTTTGGAACTACTCTGAATCTACATTCATTCCTCCTATCATCTTTTCAGTGGCAGTACTGTGTTTTTGAAAGGTTTGTAGGATAATGCTGAAACACAAATTAAAGGAAAAAGTGCTATATGCTGCTTTTTATATAGGTATGTTTCAAATACCTGCAATAAATTACATTTTGCACTTTATAAACGTCTAATACATATCTGAATTGCACTGAAATAATTTTACAGTCAGTTTCTCATTTCTCAATTATAATTAATTGAAATCAAGTTTAGGAGGGCCCAGGAAACAAAATCTTATCAGATGTCAGATGAAGTTTGACCTAAGTTGCACATTCTGGTATCCTGGCCTTTAACATTTAAATCAGAACGAAATGTACTTTAAACTATGACTGCAGTACTGTTTCCAGTGTCATTTGAATGTTTTGGTCCATCTGGGCCTATTTCCTTAGTTAATTGAAGATCTGACCTTTTGATAATTCCAGGAAATTCAGGTTTATTGAATGGAGTATTATATACTTACTTTGTATGAATGCCTTATATATATTTACATACTAAATATTATGCTTCTAGAAATAATACATAAGAAATAAGAGGAATAAATAATTGTGGTATATTATTACCTCTATGAGAACTGAAAACTGGTAAGAAAAGAATTATATATTATAGTATTCACAAACAGTTGCATTCTGGAATTTAGTTCTGCCCCAGTGGGTGCTGTTCAAATAAGGTTTGAATTTCCACAATCCCCTTACATTTGATGAGAGGGTAGATTCCAAGGATAACTTTAACTTCTACTCAGAGCTATGTCAGAACTACTGTATAACCACAGCAGCACAGCAGTTTAAGGTTGATTTAGAGTTGCACTCAGTTGCCTGTAACCATTGCCACATACCTACACTGCAAAAATGTTGATGTGTAAGTTGCAGATGGTTGTAGAAAGGACAAGCCAAAACCCTCCCAAATCCTAACTATAGAGGGCAAGCCCTACATGCTGATTGGTTGATCCAACTTCTTGTTCTGTGTTTTGCTGTTTGAGTGTCCCCTAGCCAGAACATTAAAATTCACAGCTATATGAATACAACAGCTATGCAACTGCCTATGAATGACAGACACATACTGTATGTTCCTTCACATCTGCTTGACCTTCAGAAGGGACAGGAGAGCTATTACTGATTGCTCATATCACAGGTTATAAAATAGTTATTAGATTGTGGGACAAAATGACTGCTTACTGAATAAAATCTGGGAAAGGAAGGGAAGGGAAGAAAAGGAAGAAGGTATGGTAAGAAGTAGTTTCTCCATTAAGAGATACTTTGGGAAGAAGATAGAAGAGGCAAAACAACTGTTGGGCAATTCTTGCTGATTGACTGTAAGCAGAAAATTAGTATTCTGAAGAGTAAAAGTAAAAGAGTAAAAGAGAATGGTAATTGCATTCCCTCTTACATGGTGTCTATTAATCAGAACAAATAAATGTGACAGAAGGATCAATTTCTCAAATCATAGCATTTTCCTTAAATGTTTTGTTGTTGTTGTTGTTCATTTATCTTTGGCATGGCACAAAAAATATTTTAAGGTGGAATAAATGCATTGCATTTAACGAGAGCTGATCGTTGATTTAAACCTTTTAAAAGTTTCATTTTAAGGTTAGGTTGGAAGAGTGTTTTAAAAGCTTATCACCAAGATGTGGTATTTCATGAAGACTTGGAATGTTCCATGTCACTGCACTTTTTTTAAAAAAACTAATTTTATTTCCACATATTGAAACTATTAAAATATTTTCTGGAATACAGGAAAAACATTTAAACAACAAAACGGGTTTCCCAGCTGATTTGGGGCAACGGCTGGTAAAAATAAAAGCCAAAAAACAAACATTTTGTTATTATCTAGCATTTATATTAAAAGATGGTGGTTTAATAATTTTGGATATGTGGTGAATGTTGAGATGTTTACTGGCAATTCTTCAAAATCTAAGAGACTCAAGGGAAAATGTTGGAAAATACTGACACTATAAATAAATTTCAAAGCAGAGTGTCCTTATTAAATATTCAAATGTTCACCCTCAATTCCATGATTACCCCATAGAAAATATTTATGGTAATTATTTGCATATAAATGCAAACATAAGTATTTATTATAAAACATGTTGATATTTTTACATGACATAATGACCATGAAACAGTGGCTTTCACCTTGTGTCTGTCATGTACTTAACATATTTATGGGAACTTTCCCCCTTGTAAAATAAGAATTCTTGGCAAGAGCAAAGGCACTATATAAAACATTGGAAAAGATTTTCCTTGACTGTGTTGTTCAAGTCTGTATTTTCCATGCAGTGCTACATGAGCCACAGGTGTTGTGCAGACACATTAGAGATGGGATGCAACTCTCTTCCCCAAATCAGGAAGGGAACCAAGAGAAAGGGATGAAGAGCAGAGCCACTCACCTCCAGCTGAATGCTCTGCGGCTAAGAAACTAAACGTCTCAACAGAAGAAGCAGCAATGGAAAGGCTTAGGAATCAAAATAAAATAACATTTGTTGCTTTTTTTTTCTTCCATTACTTGAATGGGAGGTTTGGTTTAGTTTAGTTTAGTTTAGTTTAGTTTAGTTTAGTTTAGTTTAGTTTAGTTTGGTTTGGTTTGGTTTGGTTTGGTTTGGTTTCGTTTGGTTTGGTTTAGTTTAGTTTGGTTTGGTTTCATAAACCACAATAAGCTCTGTTTAACACCAGTGATTCAGTGCCCTATAATAAACCAAATCAACAGCTTAAGCTTTTAGATAAAGCCCAGGTATTAACTGGCTATTTCTCAAAATGTTAGAATGACTAGTAGTTTCACCCAATGTTCAGAGTCATGCACCTTACCATTCCTCATCAATCTTACCATTTCTTTTCTGACAAAGGATGAACCTGGAATCTACTTTTTAAAAGATGGAGGAAAGGGGATGCAGGGCAGGAACATAGCCTAACTGCTGGAGCCTACAACAGGTTCCTTCAGTAGTGATCTGTAAGACTCGGTTTTAATTTCTTGAGGGATTGGAATAACACTACAGGGCCAAGTAGGTCTGTAAGAGTGCACTTTACCCAGGATTCCCTCAAACATGGAACTGGTTCTCAAATGGGAAATGATAACAGTGCTGCTATCCCCCCTGCAGAAAACTCTTCAATCTAAATTACACATGGAGCTTATTTCCTTGGAAATGAGAGCCGTAGACTTTCCCCAAGGGCTGAGATGTGGTTAAGCAGTACTTGGAATGTCACTGTCTAAGTCAGGGATGTCAAACTGCCAGCCCATGGGCCGGATGCATCATGCCGAAACTGCGCCCACCCCATTGCCGGCACTGGAAAAAAAGTTGTGATATGTCGAGACATGTCACATGACGTTACGAGTTTGACAACCCTAGTCTAAGTATATTGAAAGTCTATTACATAGATGACAATTAAGTTCTTTGACCAGTCTGGACCCCATTATGCATTTCTGAAATATATTTCCCACTTGTGCATAAAGTAACAAATAGCTTTTAGTAGAAATTTAGTAGAAAATCAATAATCCTTGATTATATTTTTCTTTTTGCTCAAATTTAGGAGGAAATGGAATAATGAAGAGCATTTAAATTAAAATAGTTCCAAAATTCAACTTAGTCTTCCTGGCTACTTCCATTAGCTCACTCATGGGCTTTCCTAAGGCTCCTTCCAATCTTTGCAGCTTTCTTCGGATATCAGGGGCGCTTTGTGAGATAAAAGCCATGGCAAGCATTCTAGCATTGTCAGATTCTGTTGGGTCAATAGGGGTGTACATTTGATAGGCTTCAAGCAGTCGAGCATAAAATGCTTCTGGACTTTCTGTGGCTTCCTGCACCACCAAAGAGGGTTTAGACATATTAACAGCTGGCTTCCCTGCTGCACGGACTGCTTGCACTGCTAATTGCTGATAAGCCTGTAACTCTTTGAGGTCACGATATGGATTCCATTTAGGGTCTTTAGAAGGGAACTTCTCTTCGACATAGTCTTCGATAGTGTAGAGTGTAGGCAAATCAGGCTTCACAATTTTTGCCACTGCTATTCTAATCTTTTCCCTTTCCTCCGGATTGAACAATGTTCCCATAAGCTGTTGCATATCCATCCAATTGGGGTTGTGGGTGTCTACAATAGTTTTAATTAAGTCTGCAATTTCGGTGGGCTTTTCACTAAACGGCCCATAGTGAAATTTCCAGTTAAGAAGGTCCGAAGTTGTGAAGGGCACATGTTGAAATAGAGGGGCAGTTGCTGTATCTGTAGGATCATCTTTATTAACAACCAACTGATCCACTTGTCTGAGGGGAGCGTTCAAAGAGACTAGCTCTGTCCTTGCCCTGGTCCTTTCAGCTACTGGCTCCTCTTCCTCCCTGTCCTCACTTGGCTCTTCCTTCTCCTCTGTCCCCGAGCTCCCCTCTGTTGCTTGGAGCGAGGGTCCTTCCTGGGCTCCTTGATCCTGGACTTCTGCTTGGGCTGGTGATCGTCCCTGACCTTTCCTTTCCCCAAGTTGGAAGCCTTTTAGCATTGGGGATAACATGTCTAGACGCCACATGGATCCCACTGCTGACGATGATGTCCCTGGGGTTCCTCTCAACCCATGTGGAGGGATGTACGGTGGTGGATGTGGCAGTTCTTCTGGACAACTTGGTAGAACTGGAATGGGCTTTCTAGGCTTTGGAACTGGCAGGGTGCGTGATACCAGAAGCTTACACTGCTCTTTGTTACACTTTTGAATCCGGGGGGGAGGTCTTTGCAACAAGCCAAGCCACACATCTATATAGGGTGCCTGGTCTGGGTGCCCTAATGTAGGATTGAACACTAGCTGGTGTACCTGTTGTGCAATGTATGGATCTAGTGTCCCTGTATTTGGCCAGCCTACGTTAAAGCTGGGCCAATCTATCTCACAGAAATTCCTCAACTTATGCCTGCTCCACTTAATGCCATAATCCTGTGTCTCATAAGCAGACTTAAAATGCTGTAGCATACACCCCAAAGGAGTAAGGGGTACACTTGCACCACCTCCCATGAGCCTCCCAGGGCACCAGACAAGACAAATGAGGAAAAGGGATGAGAGGAAGGTAAGGGGTCCTTCCACTCGGGATAACACTGAGGGTTTCACTTATACGCGCTAGACCCAGGGCGCCGGAAACTCAACGGTCACCGATGGGAAATTCGAACGCCATTCACTCACAACAAACACTCAAGACAATTCCTCCCACCTTATCCTAAAGAGAGGGTGATCAGTCCTCTCCTCCGTCCCTGCTTACAGGGAGGGATTCCTTATTTCCCTCAATACTTGCCTGCAGGCGAATCCTCTGTCCTGAAGCCGGCTGGAAAGATGCCTGGTCTCCTCACCCTTCACCAGTGGTTCTTGGAGTGGCCAACCGCCGATGTCAGAGCCCTGTGACACAGGGAAGTCCCTCGGAAGAAAAGGTCCGATGGCGCCTGGGATGTTCCCTCCTCACTGCAGGCTCCTGATGTCGGGGTGGGTCCTCCAGAGAGCCCCAAGGCTCCTTGCCGTCCTGCCGCGGTCGCCAGATAATTGTAGTGGAAACCCCAATACTTACATCAGAAGACAAGACCACGAAGGGTTGGAGAAAACAGGTTTTTATTCGTGCACGATGGCTCAGAGTATTAGCATGACAAATTCTGAGCCCTGAGCTATTCTCAGGGGTTAATTCTTATAGTATTCACCACCCACGCCTTAGCCACAGGGTGGTCCTTATCTACCTTTAACACACTTAAACAGAGAAGTTTATATCTTGCAGCTACACGAGTAAAAAGGAGAAGTTTGCCCAAACGGTTGCCTTACCACACCTCTCTTCCCGGGTGTTATCTTACAACATCTGTGACTTTTAGTTGACACTGACACTTCTTGTAAAATGGTTTCTACATAGCATTAACACATCTCTATAATTATGACACACACAGGTTATATGATTTTAGTTACATTGCACAGCCAAACTTAATATCATCTATTAACTATTATTATTATTAGCAACAAGCATTGTTATTGAACTTACTGCCCACCTCATAACCAACTTTGTGTTTTACTGTTAAATCAAAAATTATATTTTTTTCCTTGTTCTTTGTAGGCTAAATTTATTATGGACATCAGAGAGTAACTCAGTGTAGTCCTGGCTCAAGTGTGGGCTGGTGATAAGATGAAGGCAATATTATGAGGACATTGTTTGGCCTTTGTTTTATGGTCAAGTGAGGAGAAGCACCAAATATCTCATTATATGTATTAATGAGGGCAATCTTGTTATCTCCTGTTTATACAGTAGCAATTCTTCCACCTTGCTCAGAAAAGGAAGCAGTCAGATCTATTTAGTAAATAGTTATTGATTATGAATTTTCTCATTTTAAATAGCTGAAGTAAATAGCTATTAGAATAAATTCATCAGCACAGTGGGAAAAAGTTGCAATGAATGGAGTGAGGTTATAATATACACAAAGGTGAAAGATTCAACATGACCCACAATGGAGGGATGGATGTTGGAGATGATGGAACTTGCTGAGATGGCCAAATTGACAGCTTTGATTAATAAAATGACATTATCTAATTTTAATGCTGACTGGAAATCCCTTGTAGACTTTTTTATGTGAAACAGAAAAAAAAGAAACTATGATATATGACTTTCATGATTAGATATAGAAAAATATAAGACACACTGTCACCACAAGGTAAAAATTTATATTTAAAGAAAATCAGAAGCTACTTCTTTATAACTTTTTTCTCTACTTTTGGCTTTTTCTTCTATTTTTTTTTCTTTTTTTCTTCTTTATTCTAAATATTAGCTTTGGTTAGCTTTTATCTTTAAAAAAGATAATAAAGTTGTATTTTTAAAAAAGAATAAATTAACAGCCATTTTAATTCCTTCTTTTTTATTCTTGGCTAACAAGTGATAGGAAGATTTTGTAGGAAATAGTGTTTTGATAGTTAATACTTTAACATAAGCCTACTATTACTTTTTTTTAAAAATGCTGAGTATTAGATAACATTTTGGTAACTCCAAAGTAACATTAATGCATGCAATCTCATTAGCCTTCTTACTATTCTGAGGTAACCCTGATCCCAGAAAATTGAGGGAAAAAAATCTGATGTTGCAAGTTAAAGTGGGAAGATTACAAGTTAGACAGGAATGGAGTAGAATGAAGTGGAGAGAGGAGAGACAAAGTAGAACCAATTAATGCTCCTTTAGAAAAATTTAGGTTATGTCCTATGAGGGAGATTTTTTGCCAGCCAAGAAGAATATACCTATTAGGAACATCTATATCTGCTCAGTGGATGATGAAAATCAATGCCATTTCAATGAAAGAAGCATATGCCCTAATAAGATAACACAAAGCCATATCTATTGAGTTTCTGGTAAGTTGGAGTCCTTTAATTTCTCCTTATAATATAGTGTTTCTTTAAGGGGATTTTTGCACCAATTCCAAAGGAGGCCAAAGCAATTTATAATCATTTCTTTTTGTTTGTACTTGTAGTAAATATTAATGTTCCTGCATATACTGAACCATTTTCTTTTACTTTATTTAATTTTTTTCTAATGGATTTCATCGTCTCCGCAGGCTTCCTCATATGAAGCTTCATATATGGATATTGATTTCTTTAACAAACTGAGTAAATGTTAACTTTTTTGAATGTTTGTACCCGGGATGAAAAAACACTGTCACATTGGTTGAGAGCTCATTTTTCTTCCGGGAAATAATCTATAAAGCCATTATAATAACATGTATAAGAATCCTGATTGGAGCCCCTGATGATATGTATGGAGGTCTGGGAATATGGATATATAATAATTTAATATACAAGCAATGGGAAATGTTTGCTCTCTGAAGTAGAGCAACAGTAGGAGCACACACACTGATCCTTCAACCATCATCATGCCTTTGGAAGGTGCCTGCCTTCCAAAGTAAATCCAATTATTTTGGCCCCTGAAGTAGAAAATCTCACAATATTTCTCTTCGCCCCTTGCTGTAAAAACCTAAGAAATAAAAGAATAAATAATTTGCTTCCCTTTCATGATGTTCCTATTCTGTTGCCTAAATCCCTACCTCACTCTTTCCATTAAACAATATTCTGGTTACTCTTACACAGTGGTTTGTGTTAGTTTTTACTATGCTTATTAAAAACTCAATAAAATTATTTTTTTAAAAAGGAAATACATGGGAGATACAAGCAGCATGATAGGCAGAAGTTCTTAAGACTATCTGTTTGATTTACTGAGAAACTTCATACAGTTTAAACACAAATATGGCTATTGGCCAAACAAATTTTTTGTGAAGGTTATCATATCATTTTTTTTCTTGCAACCATGTAAAGCAAGATATAACATTTAGTTCCTAATAAGTAGAGCTATTTCAGTCTTGATCAGAAGCTGAACAATAATCCATGTAGCTTTTATATCAAAGTTTTGGGTTAATTCCTAGTAATGAAAAACCCCGTTCTTAAACATGGAGTCAAGTTAGGCAAGGAGAGATGTACCGATTAATAAAGATCTGCTCTTGATATTTGGCAATTTAACTTCAAAGATTTCTGCTCGCAATCTTTTTCAAAATTGCAAGCGAAGTTGTGGGTCATACTGATAACTGACTTTATAACAATCAAGTATCTCTGACAGTGTTTCTCACATAAAATAAAAAATATCTATTCTATTACTGTACTTCAAAAAGGACTTTGTATTACTCTGCTGCGATATTTTAGACAATTGTAATAATTTTCATGAAGGAATAGATGGGCCATTAACAAAGGAAAAATTATAAATCAGTCCTGAGAAAATTGAAAGTACAGGAAAGAACACAAAATAACCTGAATTAATTCTGTTTTGGCATAAGATATAGTAGAGAGAGTTTCTGGCAGACTTTCAGGATTCTGTTATTGTACCTTACAACAACAAAATACAATTTCTATAATCTTTGTGGTGTCTGTTTCCTAATTCTTAAAGGGTTAATATGTACCAAACTTCAGATGTAGATTTGTACTCATACATGCTGACTCATTTTGGGAGAAAGAGAGAGAAAGTACAGTAGGCTTTGGCTCTGTCACCATTTTGCTTCCGGCTCTGTTTCAAATTTCAGCTTCTATTTTGCACTTATCTTTAGTTTATGGCCTTGGAGTTTCTAGTAAAAAAGCAAAGTATCAAAGTACATAGCTCTCCAAGCTTGAAGTGTTCATTCCTGAAACAGGCAGTATAAAGGCAGATAAATCCTTGATGTCAGTTGATATAAAGAAGCATTCTATCAAATAGAGAAATGATGATCTGCACTGTTGTACAGTCACATGGAAGGAAAGTTACTATGTAAATGCTGAGACATAATTCCAATTACTTAAGAGCTTTGGATGTTTGGTACTTATTTTGTGCTGTTTTCTACATACGCATTTACAGGAGGTTGTTGGATACCGAGGATGAACTATCAGATATCCAATCAGATTCTGTCCCACTGGAAGTACGAGATTGGTTAGCATCTACCTTCACGAGGAAAATGGGAATGACAAAAAGGAGACCGGAGGAGAAACCAAAATTTCGAAGCATCGTGCATGCTGTACAAGCTGGGATCTTTGTGGAAAGGTGTGCCTTGTTCCTTTATTAATTATATGACCGCAGGTGGATGTGTTACCAACATCATTGTCCTGATGAAGAGCCTGAAGAAGCAAGAAATAATTATTTTACTTTGCAGAACTTTAAACTTGGTCTTCTTTTTCAAAACTGGTATTAAACAGTTAACCCACAGGATGCTAGCAGTCCTCAAATCTGAAAAAAGTCTGGGCTCAGATATCACACCTGGGGTGTTTCGATATCAAAATTAAAACTAAGCATATGAATATTTAACTATAAATATCTTTGTGCAAGTGTTGTTGAGCAGAGACAGTTTTGTGTAGTGGTTAAGGCATCAAACTAGAAACCAGTAGACTGTGAATTTTGTGCCTGAAGCACAAAGTCAGCTGAGTGATCTTGGACCAGTTACTCTCTCTCTCAGCCCAAGGAAAGAGACAATGGCAAACCACTTTGGAAACCTTACTAAGGTATCTGAAGGACTATCAACACTCACTTGAAGGCACCAAAAAAAGTCTTGTTGAACTTAGTGAGGAATATTTTATAAAACTGCACTTTGTCTGTAATTGTCTTCAGACTCACGGGCATGTGCCATTGATTGCATAAATATGTACTATAATTCTCTTATGTCATCTTTTCCATTCTTCACAATGAAGAGAATAGTATGAGTTTTAAATGCAGTAAGATATTAATGCTTGGTGTTTTCAGGGAGTAAGAGAACAGAAAAATAGTAAAAAAAAGTTTACTAAGCAAGCTGATATAATATAATACTATACTGATTCTGTTATTTATGGATTTGTTCACTCATTTGTTTAATCCTCATTATAACTAATGTTTGAAAGGTCTGCAATGCTTGTGTATATGAAAACAATGTAATGTTCTGCTTAAATTATCAGTATCATCCTTTAACAATAAGGTTTGATTGTAAGAGGATTAGCATTCATTCATTGGTATAAATACAGAATAGATCTGAGATGACTAACTGATTGACAGCAGGTTGAAAATCCATATATTTTGCTTTGAGGAAAACGGTCTTTCATGCAATCTTAAGAGTTCAATGCATATTACATCTGCTTTTATGACACTTAATAGGAACTGCTCCCAGAAAACTGTGAGGTTCTGTAATGCCTTATTTCATATTTCTTTCTTGTAGAATGTATCGAAGAACGTCTAGTATGGTTGGTTTGGCTTATCCAGCTGAAGTAATAGCATCCTTTAAGGTTAGTTCAGTTCAGCTGTTGTACAAAATACATTCAATCTCTCTCAATAAGTTTATTGGGAGAAATAGGAATCAGATTTTTTTTCCCTTCCTGTATAAATTGCAATGGAAAACAATGTTCAAGTTCTTAATCTAGTTTCATAAGAAAATAGTTATAACATTGGCATATCTATATTTACTTTGGTCTTGCTGTAAACACAGCTATTATTCTGCATATTTCTGAGGGCTATCTATCCATTTCATAATGGTTATAGTGAATTATTTGATTTCAGCTGATTCTAAATTGCTACAAATACAAACATGACTAACAGCCATCTCAGCAATGTGATTAATTCACATTAGATTTTCTTCAGTTATCATGTACCAGAATACCTGTTTGGACTATGAAAAGAAAGTAAAATGATTCTTGTTTGGATTATTCATATCAAATCAAAAACAAAGGTAATAAAATAAATCCAAATAAAATACTATTATAAGAAGTTACGTAGTTTCAAATCTAAATAACGGTGCTGCATAGCATACAAATGGTAGCACAAAATGGTCAACCAGAGGGTTTTTTCAAGGCCTTGTCTTTAAAAAAAAAAGTAGTATTAAATAGAAATCACATTCGCTATCTGGAAATTTCTTTAAGACAGGATATATAAAGGTCTGTATAGAATCCTTGTATAGGGAATACCATATGGCTTAGACTTTTTATTAAACCACAACCATATGGATATAACCAAAGACTGATACGAGAGCCAGTTTGCTATGTTGGTTAAGGTACCAGACTAGAAACCAGGACACTGTGAGTTCTAGTTTCACCTATCTTAGTCATGAAAGCCAGTAGAGTGACTTTCAGCCAGTCACTCTCTTTCTGTTCAGCTCACCTCACAATGTTGCTGCTGTGGTGAAAATAGGAGGATGAAGGCATATTAGGTATGTTTATCATTATTCAAATAATAATAATAAAGGCAGGATAAAAATCTAATCAATAAAATAACAGTATCCTTGAAACATCCAAAAAGGACTGCTGGGGGCAAAGAATCCAACCTGACTAATGTGAAGGCCTTAATGAAATTTCAGAATTGGAATAGAGATAAATAGAAGGCTGGAGTGAGCCTTTTTGGATGCAAATAATAAATATTGGGATGTGACACATTACTTCAGCTTATTTGGAGATCTGTCTTCCAAATTTCATTGCTTAAGGTGGTTCTAGCATTATCAAAACTTAACAAGCACAGATTTTCCATGGAGAAGCCCAGCAATTGAATTTTAGCAAAGGGCTTTTTAAAGCCATGATGATGTAAAACAATCTCTAAATATCAAAGATGGCTAAATCTATAGGAAGTAGAATTAACTTTAGACAGAAGGTAAGAAGAAGCCATTGTGCAGCATCCATCAAAATTATGCCTGTCTCTACACATAGGATGGCATTTTAAATACATTTTGGAATCATCGGTAGGTCTCTAATAAACTTACTTTGGATGGTTTCAATAATATTAAGCTTTGCAAAGCAGCCAATTTGGAAGCAATAAAGAAGCTGAGGGGCTATCTTAACTTGAAAGACCATGCAGACTGCAGGAACATCCATTATTTTGATGGATATTCCGGCAGCCAATTTACCTACTGAATGATAACATCTTACAATAGCTGTGGAAGTAAGCTGTGCAACACTTGTTAGATAAGAAAATTGAGCATGCCAGGATAAGGAAGCAAGAAATTGCATTCCAAAGTATTTATAAGAGTGCACTTGATCAACTGGAGTCCCATTTATTTTCCATTAATGACTTTCATGACAATGCTTGGCAAACACTAAGACTTTGGTTTTCTGATAATTTATTGAGAGTATTTGTTCTATGCAAAATAAAGCTAATGCCCGAAGTGCTTTTCTTATTCCCTCCTATGAAATAGACACAATAACAACAACATCGCCACACAGTAGCCTTGGCATTGCACAATCAGCCAGAGTGGATGAATGATGGGCTGAAACAGCAAGCATTTAAATTATTGGATTTAGATATAAATTGAAAGTAATGAAGCTAATACACAACTTTTTCTTACGTGTCTATATGTCCCCAAGGGATACCTCTAATTTTCAGGATTAATCAAAATATTTCTGTTTAACTACATATAGTATATGACAATTCCCAAAAAGACTGTGATTGCGGTGCTTTTTCTTTTTAATTGCAAGGTCATTTAGACATTATTACAATGACAAGGCTTTTCTGAATTTGAAAGCTATTGCTTTAAGTGCTCGTTACTGTTATGATTAACATTCTGGATCAGAATCCATTCGCAGAGATGGAGGCCTATTGTGTTTTCCACTGTTTCCTTCTCTGTTAACCAAACTTTTATCCAAGTGCATATAGCTTCTGCACCAAAAACATGGAGGGTTCTCAAATAGGCAAAAAAAAAACCCCACAGGCCCTGTGAATAGCGATGAAGTGCTCTTCTGTGAGAACTGCTGCACACAGGCTATACATGTGGTTCAACACTGAGAAGAAGCTGAAAAACAGCAAGGGAGCCAGCCTCCCACAGCAATATAGCTGATATCAGCATCACCTACTGCTAATCATCTTTACTTCCAGTGCTTTATATAGCTGAAACAGCATTGGCCATAAACAAGAGGGAGGTGCTATCTCCCTAGGAAAAAAAGGCTAGGCAGGGAAGGAAAATGTTTTATTGCAGGTCCTACGTAGAGGGAAGGCAGGATCTTTTCTTCCGTGAAGCAAAAAAACTTAGTGAAGAATATCAAATAGAATATGGGTAATCCTTGACTTTGGACCACAATTTGGCCCAAAATTTCTGATGTTAAGCGAGACAGTTGTTAAGTGAGTTTTGCCCCATTTTATGACCTTTCTTGATACAGTTGTTAAGTGAATCACTGCAGTTGTTAAGATAGTAACATGGTTGTTAAGTGAAACTGGCTTCCCCATGGACTTGGCTTATCAGAAGGTCACAAAAGGGGATCATATAGCCTAGGACAGGGGTCTCCAACCCCCAGTCAATGGACCAGTACCAGGCCACAGCATGCCAGCAACCGGTCCACACAAACAAGCAAAGCCCCATTCGTGAGATGCAGGCAGCACACAAATCCACGCACTCTCCGGTTCGTGGAAAAACCTCTCTCCATGGAACCAGTCCCTGGTGCCCAAAAGGTTGGGGACCTCTGGCCTAGGACACCACAACCCTCATAAATATAAACCAGTTGCCAAGCGTCTGAATTTTGACCACATGATCCTGGGGATGTGGCAACAGTTGTAAGTGTGAAAAACAGTCACAAGTCACTTTTTTCAGTGATGTTGTAACTTGGAACAATCACTAAATGAATGGCGATAAGTCGGGGACCACACCTGTATAGTCAAGCTTAAGCATTTCTAGATTTTCAGCGGAAGACATTTTAATAGCCAGCGGAATGATCCTGCTGGTTCTGCTGAACGCAGAAAAAGCTTAGCTGTACTGAGATCATATCACCTAACTCTCTCTTGTGCATGTGTGCAATGCATTAAGATTAGATGGGTGATGTATAATGCTCAAAAAGCACTTCATATAATTTAATAATATTTAAGCAAATTATAAAAGTGCCTGAAATGTATTATATTGGGGGGGGAGGAAGATCTGAAAATCCATAAACATCTTTCCCTTTCCTTATTTCTTTAGGATGTTGACAAATGGTCATTTGATGTATTTTCCTTAAATGAAGCAAGTGGAGGCCACAGCCTGAAATTTATGATGTATGAATTGTTTACCAGATATGATTTATTGAGCCGTTTCAAGGTGAGAAGCTTTTCCCTACAAATACATATTTAAAAGACAAAGGCCCCCTGGTCTTTCTTACTTCCCGAGTAGCCTTGGTAAGTGGACATTCTCCACCAGTCCTCCCCCTGCCTTGCTCATATGCCTCTTTAGCAAATTCGAAGGCACATAGCAACCAGTAAGAGAAAAGGAAGTCCATAATAGCAGTAGTGCGCCTTTGCAATAAATTCTCAAATGTGGAGATAGTTTAATATGCATTCCATTGGATTGCTTGCAATAGGCAGAATAATTTCTGAAACGATCAAATAGCGCAGAAAGAATGGCGAACCTGCTCCATCCGTGTTATGCTTCTGGGGTGACCTGCTAGAGTGAACTTGGGGAGTGTAGTCTTGCTTATGAAACATGTATCATGCAAGTTCATCTGCCATGAGAACAAAGGAGCAGAATAGACACAAGTCGGCATCCAACATCTCCATGTGAGAGAAAGCTAATGAATAGATGAGTTCTAAGCATGTCATGAAACAGAACCTGTCAAAGAGCAGCATCTAAAAATATTGCAGGCACTGAGTCTTCTTTCAGATGCTAAAGCCCAATGATGGGTCAGTGCCTTGAATAGGAAGCAACAAATTAAAAGCAGAGGGTAGGAGACTGCACTTTCAAAAGCCAAAGGCCAAGACTTCAGACTGTAAAAATGAAGGGGGTCCCCTCTATAGTTAATTCAAGTTAAGTTCTATAGGCTTTATCTTAGACAACAACACAAGATCAGCTCCGTAGTGTCTCCTCCATTCTTGTCAGGAAGATTATTTTTGTTGTTTTTGAAAGCCCAGCTAAGAACTGTTTGGCACTCTATAATGATTGCATAAAATCAGGACTGGTTTATTTCTAGCTTGTTCCTTTCTGAAAGCTTGGGGAAAGATATGGTTCTTGGCCTGTTTGGTGTGCTTCAGGTTTAAGCAATGATATCGCTATGTTTATTTGTTGATGATACAAGAGAAACATGACTTTTGGTATAATTTGGCTATTAGAGGAAGAAGAAAGGGACTACCTTTGCATCCAGGTGACCAAACCAATCACCACAGTTCTTGTCTTCTTTGTCAGGAGACAAAGATAGAGATAATGTGAGAAAAAGATAATGAGGTGACTCACTTCAGTTTAGCATAAATGAGTGATAGAACTTAGCCATTTGGAACTGGAAGCATTCAGATTCCTGTGTTACTGTATATCAGGGAACATGCAAAAAGTTGACTTCAGATAATTCATTTACTTTTCTTCTTTTTCTGGTGACATTTGGAGGCTGGAATGGCAAAAGTGATTATGCATGAAATCATGGAGACTTTTATACCTGCATACCTTGTAGACATGTTGATCTTGGAGATTTTCCTCCTCCTCCTCCTCCTCCTCCTCCTCCTCCTCCTCCTCCTCCTCCTCCTCCTTCTCCTCCTCCTCCTCCTCCTCCTTCATTTTGGGGTTTTGGTATTTGACTCTTTCAGATTCCTGTTCCAAGTCTTATTTCATTTGGAGAAGCTTTGGAAATTGGCTACAGCAAGTATAGAAATCCTTACCACAACTTGATCCATGCAGCTGATGTTACCCACACTGTACATTGCATCATGCTTCTCACTGGGATCATGGTAAGGGCAAAAGCTACAGTGCTGGGGTTGCTTTCTCTGAAGATTGTTAAGAATCTGATAAATAACTTGTGTAAGAGTAAGTTGTAATTTTCTTCATGTTCTCTTGAGGAAACTCAGGATTATGTGAAATGTTGAATCTTAGTTGGCAGAGATGAACTATTTGTATTACAATGATGGGGTTTTGTTTTTTCTTGATTAGCACTGGCTAACTGAACTGGAAATATTAGCCATGATTTTTGCAGCTGCAGTTCATGACTATGAGCATACTGGGACTACAAACAATTTCCACATTCAGACCAGGTAAGCATGATCCTTCTTACAACCAAATTCTGATCTGGGAGCAGTCTCCAAAACGTCAGATTTAGAGAAGATTTGCAGATGATGCATATTTACACTAATAATGCCAACAGCCCACTGCACAAGATTCTATTACAATCGTTGCTGAGTTTTAAGAAGACAAAAGGAATACTGAGTGAAAGCAAGAAGAGAAAAGAGACAAAGTAAATTGAGGGAATTAATTACTGAGACAAAGTAAATTGAGAGAATTAGTTATTAGGTACTTCAGCTTTGCACAGTGCACAAAGAGAACAATTCTGGGTTTCTGAATGGAGTTGCCTATCTCACTTAAGAATGGCTTCCCATATTTAGAGACTCATATTTTTTTCACATAGTTAGATTCCACCATCTTTCCCAGGGCCCACGCAGCACTCCTTAACATAGGCTAGGCCAGGGGTAGGCAACCTTGGCTCTTTTATGACTCGTGGACTTCAACTCCCAGAATTCCTGAGCCAGCCATTCCATGCTGGCTCAGGAATTCTGGGAGTTGAAGTCCACAAGTCATAAAAGAGCCAAGGTTGCCTACCAGTGGGCTAGGCCAAGAGAATGTGACTACAGGTAGTCCTCAGCTTATGACCATAACTGAGCCCAAAATTTCTGTTATTAAGTGACACATTTTTAAGTGAGTTTTGTCCCATTTTACAACCTTTTTTGCCACGGTTCTTAAGTGAACCACTGCAGTTGATAAGCTAGTAACCTGGTTGTTAAGTGAATCTGGCTTCTCCATTGACTTTGCTTGTCAGAAGGTCACAAAAGGGGATCATCACATGACCTTGGGATACAGTATGAACCAGTTGCAAAGCATCTGAATTTTGATCACATAATCATGGGGATGCTTCAAAGGCTGTAACCATGAAAAATGGTCATGAGTTACTTTTTTCACTGCTGTTGTAACTTTGAATGGTCACTAAGTGAACTGTTGTAAGTTCAAGGACTACCTGTAATCCAGAGACTCACTATAACAGGGGTCTTCAAACTTGGCCCTTTTATGACTTGTGGATTCGACTCCCAGAATTCCTCAGCCAAGCACGCTGGCTGAGAAATTCTGGGAATCGAAGTCCATAAGTCATAAAAGGACCAAGTTTGAAGACCCCTGCACTATAAGCTTCAAGGGTGAGCAGGGATTTAAACCCAGATCTTGCTGATTAAAGTTCATCAGTAGACCTTTTTCTATCAGGGTGAGACAGAATGTAGTCAGAGTGACTCCCTCCTGTGCTTTCTCAGTTCCTATTATTTCAAGTAATTTGTTTAATAGAAAGAAAGAGGGATTCTCAGATTTATATGTAATGAATACTTCATTGGGGTGGGTGGGGTAGGATATTGATAATGCTATGGCTTTTTATAAAAAACTGGATGCAATATTCCAAGTGTGGCTTTATCAAGGCATTATAAAGTTAGCTATTAACAAAATAAACTATTGGCTAAACTGGTTTGGGCTGGGATTCATTGGGATTTAACATCCGAGATATTACTGGTTTCCTACACTTTTTTTTATACAGTTATCAGAACATAAGATTGGTTCTCATTTGTAAAGAAATTGACGTTCCGTTGCACTAAAGACCTATTAACTTTGTCATGGGATCTGATAGTTCTACTACTATGTATCATGTAAGAGTCTTTCTGTCTGTACAGTCATTGCCTGCCTCTCCTAGAGAGAGGACTGAATTTTTCCCATCCATCACATTGCCCTGCCATTTTTCTCTTTAGTGTTAACCACACACATTAGTCAGGGAATTAAACCAATCTGTTTTTCTAGTATCGTATCTGCTTTCCAGGCAAAATCTCAATGAAAATTTTACTTCCCCTGGAGTAATTCAAAGCTCAAGCCCTTTTCTACTTGGATCTAAAATGAAAGCAGAAAAACTCTCTTTCCATTCAGAGTTCCATGGCAAAGATACATCAGAGTACTCTGCAAGTTTCTGACTGCTCTGATATTTCCCATGTTTCTAAGTCCTGATTCTCAGGGCTGGAGAGACAGAACCTCTGAATCTGCATCATTTTGGACAAAATTAAGGAGTGGTAATTTTGAGTGCTCTTGTGACTATTTAGTGTTCTTTACATATAAAATATGTAAAGCTAAACAAGAATCAGAAAAACAGAAAGGGACAGAGAGAAGGAGCAGATATGACAGAATCATCACTAATTGGCCAGGAAATAATGTACAAGGGAGAATTCTATTACTCATTTGAAGGAATAATAAAATCACTTATCATTTCTGTTTATTGCATGTTTGGACCATACCTCTACGTTTGCAAAGTATCTAATTTTTAACACTTCCGCTGCCTGTAATATTATGGACCTCTGCAAAGTAGATTCAATCTAATGTTCTTATTAGGGGATATGGTCCTATTCTCTGAGCTTGTTTGTTTTCTTGCAGACGTTTCATTACCCTAACTAGGTAACATCATCAGTGCTAAGTCACTAGCATTGATCACTAGCACTGATGATGTTACCTAGTTAGGGTAATGAAACGTCTGCAAGAAAACAAGCAAGCTCAGAGAGCACCAAGGAGCCCTCATTTCAAACCCTGAGCTACAAATATCCTCCTTCATTGATGGTCCTATTCCTATGTATTTGAATGAAAATGGAAGAAAGAAATAATACCATTTTGCCACCTACAATAATAGCTTCATTATAATGTAGAAGCCCTACAGGCACCAGAGTTTGTAGTCTCACATCCAGCTGGCAAAGTTTTCATTTGGTTTCATTTCAACCAACCATATCTCCACTTACTAAGAGAACAGATGGATAAAACCATAGTCAGGCTGTGAACTTTCTGGCTTATTAGTTTCCTCTCTGTATTTAGGTCAGATGTTGCCATTCTGTACAATGATCGCTCTGTTCTCGAAAACCACCATATTAGTGCTGCTTATAAGATTATGCAGGAAGAGGAAATGAATATTCTGGTGAATCTAACAAAAGATGAATGGAGGTAAGATTGATATCCTGATTAAGAACACCATTCATTCATCATTCATAACAGAAATCTAGTGCTTATTGACTGAGCACTATGTCTTTATTAAAGCATGATATGATATCTTCTAATGTTGATGATCTGCATCATGTGAATGTTTTAAATCCCTTTGAGTGCTGTTTTTCAATAAATGAGTTACTCAGATGAGGTGAGAGCCAATAAAAGCATGTTCAATATTGTCTGGGATATAGTATTGGTTTGATTGGTTTGCCATTGTAGAAAGCTAGCCTGTCTGGTTAGCAAGGGCCGAAGAGGAGGTCAAGCCATCACAATCAACTCTCTCAAAATCCCAATATGATCTGAGATTTGATTTGATCTGGCTTGATTAGTCAGAGACATGAAATTCAGTATCTTAAACCTGTGGCAGCAGTAGTTAACGACTTTGGGCCAGTGAGGGACACTAATATCCCGGTTTCAGTATGCAAACACTGGAGTAGCAACTTTATTTTCAGGAAGAAAACTGACACTCAGTAGTTTAGCATTGTGGGTAAACATTATTAAGGACTCTATTATGAAACACATTTGAGGTCATTGGAATCTGTGGTAGTTGTACAATAATGCCAAGGTTTTCCAATTTTAAACTATTCACTAGATGCATCCTAATGCATTGGACATTGTAGTAAGAGAATTAGTCTAGGGCAGTGATGTCAAACCTTTTAGAGACCGAGTGCCCAAACTGCAACCCAAAACCCACTTATGTATCGTTGAGTGCTGGGTGGGCGTGGCCAATTGAGTGGGTGTGGCCCATTGGGTGGGCATGGCTGCGGTGGTAACGGCAGACTGGGTGGGACTAAAAAGTTCAATCAATCAATTCCAACTTTGCGAGATCTTTTTTTTCCCCGAAAAGTTGAAATTGATTGATTGATTGAACCTTTTTTTTTTTTGCACCTGGTGGTGGAGGCCTAAAGTGAAAAGGTTTTATAAAACCCAGCTGAAGGCCTAGGACTGGGACAACGGCGTGCATGTCCACAGAGAGGGTTCTTCCTGCCGCCTGTGGCATGCGTGCCATAGATTCACTACCATGGATCTAGGGAAACTAGACTTGTAGGAGTTGTATTAGTCTACTGTGATCCAAAAAAAATCAGGAATCTGGTAGCACTTTTTCCAACTAATATATTTCATTATTATTATTTTTTTAAAAAATAGATATTTATTAAAAGAAATTAATAAAAATAGTTAATCAGAAAAGGTGCTCCCAGGTTCCAGATTTTGATAGCAGCTTTTAGGACTAATAAATTCTTACTTTTTCTCTTACTTACAAGTCCTACTGCCTGAATTCTAGTCTTACTAAAGTACCAGCTGGTGACCTTGAGCTAGTTACATGCGCTCTCTCAGCCCTGAGAAAAAGACAGCAAGGGCAAACCACTTCCAAAATCTTGCCCCCAAAAAATTTCAGGGAATTGCCAGAAGTCAACACTGACTAAAAGGGACGTAAAGAAAACCCTTTACTTTTAAGGCATAAACCTTTGTAAGTTCATGCTCACTTGATCAGATATATGACCTGTCTTGACTGAGGTGCAATTATAATGCATAGAGAGGGGAAGAGGAAGAGCAAGAAAAAAAATAAGGTAGTGAAGGTTTAGCTAGAACAATTATTTATTTATTTGTTTGTTTATTTGTTTATTTATTTATTTATTTTCCATCCATTCATTTGTTCATTCATCCATTCATTCAAATTTATTATAGTTGCCCAACTCCCATGGACCCTGGGTGGTACGTAAAATTTAAAATGTAATCCAGACAAACATCATCTTTCCTGAAATGGCCATTAATTTGCTTCTCAGGAGCTCATAAAGTGACATAACCATGATAATTACCTCAATGTTATTCTTTTTGGTTGAACGTTTATAGTAAAACTGAAAAAATACACAATGTTTCAATTAATGCTGATGTGACTTTATTGTTCATTTGCCCCCAAAGCATGTAAAATGATGTAGCACAAGACATTCATTATTTTATTGTAACTGTTATCTGCTAAATTTACTTCAGATGTAAAGGGGAAATTTCCGTCCAGACAGACCCCAGAATAACAGACAAATCCATTGCATCCAAAGATGTCTGGATGAAGCATTTAAAATAACATTAATTTTACTTTATTTGCACCAATTTAAATTGTTTACATAACAAGATCATGAATTTCATCTTTTATAATGAGATTTATGTAAATAATGCAAATGAAATCATTTACACATAATTCATGTAAATCTGTCATTACACAAATGATATAAATAATTACAGGGAAGGAAGTTTGCATTTAAAGAGTGCTCAGGAGGAACAGAATCGCCTTCTTTGCTTCTTTTTTTGAATCAATGATATCTAAAATACAGGAAATAGTTTGGTTGAAAATTTAAAACAGTAGATGTGAAACTAAAACACTTTAAATGTGGATGCTTATACAAATTTAATCTCCACATTTTAGTTATGTCAACAAAACAATTCCCATATCTCCACAAATCACTTTTCCATCTCTTTTATTCTGCCAGATTTAAAAAAATACTCTGAGAAGTTTATATCATGAAAACTAAACAGAATTCAAACAGAATTTGAAACAGTAATAGAAATAATAAATATGAATGTTTAAAATAGAATATTTCTCCTTAAGATAACAAATGGATTTATAAGTGCATTTTTCCCTGTAGTATCTGTCTTCTGTTTATTATGATGATGAGTTTGTCATTACAATGTAGTTAAATGTGAGTTTAAAGAAATAAAATTGATTTGATTTTTCTATGAAAAATGCATTTTTCTGTAAACAATTCATTTTTCTGTAAACAATTCATTTTAAAGGCACTTTTCAGCCAATAGCTGCACATAATCTGGAAAGTTGCACAGTTTGAAAAATGATGACATTTAATCCCATGTATTTACATGACAACCATGAATGAGTTCAGTTCATTGAAAAAGGCAGAGCCATGGAAATTCTCCCAACATCTCCAATGAATGCCAAAGCATATTCAATTGTAGCCTCTCATTATAGCTAACTCCAATTCCTAAGGGTTCAAGCAGATCATCGGCAAAAAAATTTGCATTTAGTGTAGAGAGGATAGAGATTATAAATGGGAGAAATTAAGAGAAATTATTTTGTTACAATATTCCAAAGGATTTCATTTCATCCTATCCTCCATTGCAACACCTCTCTCTCTCTCTCTCTCTCCCCCTCTCCCTCCCTCCCTCCCTCTCTCTCTCTCTCTCTCTCTCTCTCTCTCTCTCTCTCATGCACATGCCAAAACTTCAGCCATAAATTACTGTAGTTGCACACAGATATTTAGGAATAGCAATCTTTTTAATTCACTAATTTTTTACACTGATTCAGAAGTCCATCCGTTTCCCAGCAGAGAGCTTGCTTAAAGACTCCCTGCTTAACAGTGCTTAAATGTCACCATGAATTAAAAGTAGATTTTGTGCTGACCTTATTCAAAGGGGGATTTTAAAAACAGAAAATCTCAGGAGTAAACTGAGATTTTAAATAGGGAGGGAGATTCAGGCTGCTCTGACTCAAAGGAGCATAATCATGAGATGATTTTTTTTTTTTTTTTGCAACGGGTGCTAGAATATGTTGATGTGCTGTTTTACCAACCCCTTCCTCTCCATAATACACACCACCACTACCATTAGCAACAACAACAATTACAAACAAGTGAGAGAGGACAACCATTTGGGTTTTTTCCTAGAGATTTGTGGCTGGAAGTAGAGAGATAGCCATTGCCAGATCTCATTTACCAATGTTATTTGATTACGTTGCATTTTCTTTCCCTCTCAAAATGTATAGAAAAAAATGAGCTTGCAAAAGTGTTCCTGAACATACATGGTCCTAGAATATACTAAAATCAAACCACTTCATAATACTTACTGACAAGCTCAGGCATTCACATATGCAAAATAACATAAGCTAGTATAAAATAACCCAAAACATATAATCATAAATAGCAATAGGATTTAGACTTATATGCTGCTTCACAGTGCTTTACAGCCCTCTCTAAACAGTTTACAGAGTCAGCATATTTCCCCCAACAATCTGGGTCCTCATTTTACCGACCTCGGAAGGATAAAAGGCTGAGTCAATTTTGAGCCAGTCAGGATCAAACTCCTGGCAGTAGGCAGAGTCAGCCTGCAATATTGCATTCTAACCACTGCACCACCAAGCAAACATCCTAGGACCTAGACATTTAATTGAAAGGAAGTTGCCCATTACTAATCAATGACAAATGTTAGAATACATGCTTCCCTGTTTCCATAGAAAATATTTCCTTTCCAAAATAAGATTGACAAATCAAGGTGTTTGGGGAAGATTGTCCTAAATGATATACACAGAGAGAGTACCATGTAAACACATTTCTGTCACAAATGTGGTTGCTGTACTCTTTCATCCACTACCTCTATCGCCTTACAGAGATCCTTTCTGACAGGGAACCTTTTATGGTAGGGCAGCTGTCCCCAACCATTTTGACTTGGTAGACCGGTGGGAGGGCGTAGAGGGGATGGTTCCATGTGAAGGACAGGCACACATACTCGCAAGCGCAGCTCCATTTGCACAAGTGGTGGCACGTGCTCCCACTTGCACAAATGCAGCTTCACGCACCTGCCCACACACCCGTCACTTGCACGGCCACGGCCTGGGAGTTGGGGACCCCTGCAGTAGGGTATCTTTTGGAAGGGGACCTCTTTCTCTAATTACATAATTAATGTAGGTCCAATTATTTTCTGTCTAGAGGTTGTTGTTTTCTATAGGGTGGTGGTGTTATTGTGTTACTGGAACAGGCCTAAAATTTGAGGTTCATTCTCTTTCATTTGGAGGGAAGGTGAGATTTTGTCCTTTCTTTTTGCTGGAAATTTAATAGAACCAACTTCAGACCACAAAAATGGGCTATGAAGCACAGACTGCCCATATCGGACCTGTTGTTTCTGTCTATGGTTGTTTCTGTCTATGATTTCCAGTGAGATGTTTAGATACTGATGGCAGAATTATAACCATGTGTAAGTCTGCTCACTGTCAAGAAAGCCACCCCCACCCCCAATTGTACTTAAATCTCTGGTCATGATTTTGAAAAAAAATTGCACTAAAAATATAGATAATAGTAATATTAAAGTTATGTTTTTAAAGCTGATTAGCACAAAACTGCAGGTCATAGTTCATTGTTTCAAGTAATTTTATCTCTAATGTTGTCTTTGCTTCTAAGAATCAAATGAATCAGAGCAGTACAATCCAGGTGCCTCAGTACAAAATTAACGCCATTGTAATCAACTTTGATTGCCCACAGGGAGCTGCGCAACCTGGTTATTGAGATGGTTTTATCTACTGATATGTCTGGGCATTTCCAGCAAATCAAGACAATGAGGCACACTCTTCAGCAAACAGAAGAGTAAGTGGCATCCTTTCATCCTTCCTTCTGTAGTCGCAGGCTGGGTACTTTAAATGGCATCCCCAATCTGGAGCAAGGCTTGCCTTTGCAGAAAGATAATGGAGAAATGTCTTTAAATGGACAGGATAGACAAAGCCCGAGCCATGGCCTTGATCCTCCATGCTGCTGACATCAGCCATCCATCAAAATTGTGGGATCTGCACTACCGATGGACAAAGGCCCTGATGGAAGAATTTTTTCGACAGGTACTTCTCTCCGGTGCATTTATAAACATTTCACAAGCCATGTCAGATAGCAATAGCACTTAGACCAGTGATGGCGAACCTTTTAGAGACCGAGTGCCCAAAAACTGGCCCCGCCCCTGCTCCACCCCCTGCCCCAACCCTGCCCCGTCCCCACCTTGTCCTCCACCCCGCCTGCCTGCAGGGCCACTCACTGCCTCTAGGGCCCGCCGCAGATTGCCCAGGCAGCCCAGCAGCAACGTGACGGCCACGCCCTCTGCCCACACCCCGCAGCATCAACTGTGCAGGATGGGGTATGAGGGCAGAGTCTTGTCTACGCTGCCTGGCTACCATGTCCTTGGCTGTGCGTGGGCCAGGGCCATGTTCGGGGGCAACTCTCTTCCAGGGAGGCTGCTGGTGAGGAGGGGGTCATGGGGGAGGCGTGGCTGGGGCAACGGCATATGTGCCCACAGAGAGGGCTCCGAGTGCCACCTCTGGCACGCATGCCATAGGTTTGCCACCACTGACTTAGACTTATATACTGCTTCATAGTGCTTTACAGCACTCTGAAAGCAGTTTACGGAGTCAGCATATTTCCCCCAACAATTTGGGTCCTAAAAATTTTACCAGCCTTGGAAGGATGGAAGGCTAAGTCAACCTTGAGCTGGTCAAGATCGAACTTCTGGCAGTCAGCAGAATTAGTCTGCAATACTGCATTCTCACCACCACGCCACCACGGCTCTGGCACAGTGTTAGGATCAGCCATTTTCTTTCTTAACTGTTTTTTTTTTACTCCAGTCTTTTAATTGCTAATTAAAAATGTAAGTAATGTTCTGTATAACTTCAACATAAATTATTGAAACCATTAAAAAAAAGAATAAAATACAGGAGCAAACAACAGTACAAACCTGGACATTCAGTGTGAAAGAGTTCTTTTCCAAGCATCTGAAAGTTGACATATGAGGATCAGGAAGGCATGGAGGTTTCTCTGATTGACAAGACTTTCTTCCACTCATCTCCCATGTGGTGATACATATCTGGAGAAGGGCTTTGCAAGGATGCGTGAAGAAAAATAAATCTCTTTGAACTGTTTTCTATAGTGGTTGTACTGACACTCAGTTTCTAAGAAATGGGTGGGATTTTTGGATGTGCCAAAAGAAACCCTTTAGATGTTTTGTTTGTCCCAAAGTAATCAAACTGAACCCTTTCTTTTATTTTGGAACAGTGTGTGTTATTTTTCTAATCCAGCACAGTGAGGTTACAAAGGACGTAGATATACCAATCTTTATAAATCAGGAATTAGTATTGCTCATACATGTCACCTTTTCCATTCCCTTGTGCACTTGGTTTAATAATTAAGCACAGTTTTCTTCAGGCAAAATTCCCAATTAAATGCAAAATTATTGTGTAGTGCAGCTTTCTGCAACCTGGTGCTTTTTAGGAGAACTGGAATTGTAATTCCCAGAATGTCCAACAAGCATAGCTATAAAGTTTGGAAGACCCCAAGTTTGGAAAGCTAATTAATTATTAAATTTCAGGACTGGATAAACCAGGACTGGAAATATAAATCAAATTATAATTTTAAAATATGGTAACTAAACAGCCGGGACATCACTGTTAAGAGAAAACAGATTTTAAAAATTTATTGTTATTGCTTTTAAATTAATAACAGAAAAAGAAAAGGAACAAAACACTAAAATAATGCAAATACATACAATCTCAAATCAATAGCACATAAAAAGTGAAAAAAAAACAAAAAAAAGAAACTAAGAATACTATATCATTGAAACAGTTAACAGTTACAATTCTATATATACAGTACTTATTGAATGTAAATATAATTCAAGCACATAAATATTTATTTCTAATATATTTATATAACTATCATTCTTCTATTATACTATATATATTGTATATACTATGTTTTGTATAAATGAATACCATACTTCATTACACTTGCCCATACCAAGTCTACATTATAAACAATCTGCACAAATATAATCAGGTCTTCAATTCATTGGATAAGTGTTATCTTTCCAATGCTGTAGTAAGGGCACAGAGTATCCATTTACCTTGTCCAGAAGTTGATAGAACACAATGTCAACGCTGCAAATATTGTATATTCTTGCTTTTGACAATATGTAGAATTGTCTGGTAATTATGGGGTTAATACAGAGCAGAAGGGGGGTTGGGGGTAAAGCCTGGGAAAGAAAGAGGAAGAAAACATTTGACCTTCATACTAATTGGATAATGTGAGATATGATGGCTAATTTAGGGAGGGAACATGCTGATAATTTAACTGCTCAAAGGAAGAGAACTTAGATCCTAGCATCCCTCCGTTGTGCCTGTGCCGACATTTTGTAACAATAAAAGACTTTTAGGAAAATAAATGCCTGGAAGTTCTTTGGAATGTTTCATTAGCTGGAACCACAACACACAAAACAAAACAAAATCTCCATTGACATACTGAAGAGAATGCATTGAAGGACATATATAGCACCAGACCCTGAGTAATCAAGAGGTTCCTTCAGTCACTATGACAGATACAGCTTAAGCTTTCTACTGAAAGCAGTGAGAAAGGGACAGGCTTCCTTGCCAATTTGTGTATCTTTTATTTCTCACCCAGGGTTGTCTAGCTTTTAAATACTTTGGAACATATATACTGTAGTTGTAATCATTGAATGCTCAAACTTACTTTCACTTTCACTTGACCTTCACTTACTTTTCATCGTATGTTGAGAATCGTATGTTTTCTTCCCCCAAATTTAGGGAGATAAAGAGGCAGAGCTGGGGCTACCATTCTCTCCTCTCTGTGACCGGAAATCCACCATGGTGGCACAGTCCCAAATAGGTAAGGGTTGGGTTTGTTTGTTTGTTTGTTTGTTTGTTTGTTTGTTTTAAAAAAAAGTATTACAATGAAAGGAAGAAATGCTTGATAGAACAGGACTGGCTTGTTAGGCAATTCTGCCTCCAACTATTTTTCAATATGCGTTACTCGTGGAGAATAGCATCACTGGAAAGATTAGATAGTGGATTGATAGTGTAGTGTTTTGGGATCCCAACATGTTTTTCAATTCTTGGCACAGCTACTGGTGTAGATGTGAAAGGGTTTCACAGTGTACTTTACTCATTCACAAGTGATTGTCATTGCCCCCTCTTAGTTCATTTTTATGGCACTGACTTAGACTCTGTCTAACTTTGTATAATATAATATAATATAATATAATATAATATAATATAATATAATATAAAATAAAATAATAGTAAAATAATAGTATAAGTATAGTATAGTAATGCAATGCAATGCAATACAACACAACACAACATATAATAGTTATATTACCCATTGAATGTTATCAAAACTAGCTCTCAGTCATAGCTATATGGGCAAACCAGTGATGTGAGAGAAGGAAATTTTGCAAATGTATAAATATTGTGGCTTAATGCTGGTTCACAAAAGAGTGCGGCTTCCTGCCCTATAAAAAGCTGTTTCATGAGCCATTTTTCTCCATAGTCTTTTCTAGCTTTTGTTCTTGTAGGAAGGATACACACCAGGTCACAAAACAAAGACAAAGAAACCAGAGAGCAGAACTTCATTCTTCCCAACACACTTTGGCAAATATATTATCAATCCTTAATACATATTAAGAAACTAACAAATAATGGCTGGATCCAATCTGAGGGGGTCCTCGGCATCAGAGGTTCAGTCTTTCAAACTTTCGGATTCGTGCTGGAGCCCAATACTCAGGGAAGCTCTGTCTCACCAGAATGGGTCTCACCTTCTGGCGGGAGAGAACTTCCCTGAAGCTGGGTTCCAGCACAAGTCCAAAAGCTCAGAAGACTAAACCTCTGATCCCGGGGACTGACCCAGATTGGATCTTGCAACATTATCCTGGGACACATATATTTGCCTTCATTCATAACAAATAATTGCTTGTTTTTGTCCAGAATGGTATAGGGTCTCCTGCTTGAGCAGGGGGTTGGACTAGACAACCTCCAAAGTCCCTTCCAAATCTATTATTCTGTTATTCTGTTAAACAAGAGTTTACATTATTTATTGTATTAAAGGCATTGTGTTGGTACTATAATACCCCCTTTCTAGATGAAGAAAATATTTTCCATCAGTTTCCTAATAGTCCTCCATAAGAATTGTTTTCAAGGTAGCGTGTTCCTTTTTGAATTGATCCATAAAATGTTTGATTATTTCTGGACCAGGGTGTACCCCATGGTTTGGTTCTATGATATTTGGTTCTGTGATATATTTGTACAGAATAGAGCTGTGGATGCTTCAAAAACAATACATAAAAAGTGTTTCAGATGCCACAGGAGTGCAGCACTCCCCTGCTCCCTATCAATGTGCAACGATATATTTAATGGAACATTTATTTAGCATGATGCAATGACCTTGAAAGACAAGAGGAAGAGATGTTGCCTAAGGAACAATCAGATAAGAAAGGGCATAGCCCACAGTTGCATAACAGACAGATACTCGGAAAGGAAAGTATAATAGGCTGTTTAAAAAAGACCCGCCTATCTGTATGTGTACTATTAGACTTGCAAGATTCTGTTAATGTAGCCTTAATTAACACATCAGGCTGTGTTTCATGCCTGGGCTACCTTGGGGAGCTGATACATACCAAGAGGATGTAAAATCTGTTACCATTCTACACTGAATTCAGTTGTTGTTGTTTTTTGCTTGTTCAGCACTTGGGGGAACATACTGTAGTGCTTTGACAAGTGTTTTCTTTTAAATAAAATGAAGACCAGACAAGAAACACAACAGCATTGTTCAGTATTGCCACCTCAAAGCTGTGGGCTGAATTCTGTCTCCAAGGATTATTATTTGTTTCATTCACTGATCTGACAGAATGTTGCCAACATGTTGTCAAATCGCACTAGCAACACATAGCAAAGAGTCATTTCAAATATAAATTCAGTCACATAAAAGTTCAGTTCCTCAAGCCGAAATTATCTGAATTCATTTTCGTCACCTTCCAGGCTTAGAATCAGCATAAAGATAGCACTGAAGGCACTTACTGAGGATTTCTGGTGGCAACAGGATAGAACAGGGGTCTTCAAACTTGGCCCTTTTATGACTTGTGGACTTCAACTCCCAGAATTCCTCAGCCTTCTGTCTGTCAATGGTTTTCCATAGAATCAAACTTCTGAGCCATCTCCAATAATTTAGGAGGAGGAGGAGATTATATTGCAATGGTTCTCCTTGCTGAAGAGATGGATTTAGTTGTTTGTTGCAGGAGAGGACAGCTCAAGCCCTAGGCACCTTAATTGGGCCATACCTAATGGATCTACATATTCCCTACTACTATTCAACATTTACATGAAGCTGTTGGATGAGATTGTTGGGGTCACTGGCTGAGGATACCTAACTGGATATCTTGATCCTGGCTGAGTGATGCTGCTGAAGTGCTATACAGGTGCTTGAAAGCTGTCTGGATGGGGAGGAACAGGTTGAAACTCAGTTGCAGGAAGACAGCATGGCTCTGAGTTCAAAGGGTAGCTATTTTCAGTGAGATACTATCATTAGGCAACAGGATTTCATGTTTAATGTGAGGCAGTCTGCTCACAGTAAAAAATGACAATAAAGGTTATCTTATCTTATTACTTTAAATAGGGTTGCATTTCCCCCCCCCCAGATGGATTTGGTTTGCAGTTTGGAGGACTTCTTAGATTTACAACTCCTGCTTGAACAGCTGACAGATGTGGCTAAGAGGGTCTTTGCTCAGTTCCATCTATTCCTGAAATGGCAGGCATTACTCACTGTCACTGCTTGATTGATGACTATTGTAATGCTGAATTCACAGCCACTTGAGGTGGGTGCTCCCTGAGGCACTCATGTAACAACACCTTTACTCCAAGAGCTGCACTATTTCCACTTGCTGTGCAGATGCAATTCAAGGTGCTGGTTGTCCCTTTAAATCCATTCAGGGGTCTGAGGCACACGTATTTGCAGAACCATCTTCTCTCAATAAGATCCAACTTGGTTTGCTAGATATCTGTCAGAAATACAAGATTAGCAAGATCTTGAAACAAAAGAAGCCAGGATTTTATTTTATTTTTTTAAAAAATAATTTATTGTAGGTATTGTAGCAGTCATCTTGAAAGCTTGTCAATTTTTTTTTTCTACCACATCTTGTGCCAAAGATAATCAAGGCAGGACTCTTTTGAGTTTCTTTCTCATGTTTTCCTCCTTCTCATGACTGACAAATCTTTTCTCAACTCTGAATAGTTCATTGCTCCCCTCTCAAGATGGACTACAGTTCTTTCATAGCTTTCCCTCAGTTAGAAGTTGTCATCTTTTAGGGCAGCGGCTCCCAATCTTTTCTATACCCTGCGCCCCTAGAACGCTTCTGCTATATTCTTGCACCCCTTACAAAAGCTCGAAATAACAGCAACGAAGTATGCATATACACTATAATTTTGAAAAGCCAGGTTTTCGCACCCCCTGGACTATTGTCTCACAGCCCCATTTAGGAACCCCCGTTTTAGGGCCATGGAAACATGCCTTTCCAACTGCTACCACCTCCTCCAGAAGAACATGCCCCCAATTGTGCAAACTGTCTCTTCTTTCCTGGCTTTTCAAAAGCCGGTGGTAATCTGGTTATTCCACCGAGTTAAGCAAGCTGGATTGTTGTCACGGCTTTTTCCTGAAGAGGGGCATTTCTATACTGTGGTTAATGCTTTTAGTCATGACTTTCATTGCCATAGGAATACTTTTCATTTCTGGTTCACTTAACTGTATGTTTGAACCCCAGTTGCATAGTGGGGAATTTGTACAGACTTAGCCTTATGCAAGTAGTCCTTGACGTACAACCACACCTGGGCCCAGATTTTCCATTGCCAAGCAAGATGGTTGTTAAGGGAGTTGGATCCAATGTTACAACCTTTTTTTTAACCCTAGTTGTTAACCGAATCCCTGCACTTAAGTGAATCATGCAGTTGTTAAGCAAATCCAGCTTCCCCTATTGACTTTGCTTGTTGGAAGCCAGCTGGGAAGGTCACACATGTCAATCACATGACCCTGAGACACTGCAACTGTTGGAAACACATGTTGGTTGCCAAGTGCCTGAAGTCTGATTTCATGACCATGGCAATGCTGCAATAGTTACAGGTTTGAGGACCGGTTGTACATTTTTTTCAGCGGAATTGTAACTTGGCTAAACAAATGTAAACTCTGCAAATAAATAGACAAGCAAATAAAATGCTGGTTAACATGAAGCAGAGTTATCAGAGAGTCAGCATCATGGAATTCAGTGGCATTCATTTCAGATGAAACATGCAGAAGGGGATGCAACATAAAAACGAGCTGAAATGGTAGGCAACCTTGGCTCTTTTATGACTCGTGGACTTCAACTCCCAGAATTCCTGAGCCAGCATGGTTCCTTTCCCCTCAGCATGGCTGGCTCAGGAATTCTGGGAGTTGAAGTCCACGAGTCATAAAAGAGCCAAGGTTGCCTACCCCTGAGATAAACCCTGATTATTAGTGGCCAGCTCTGCTTTTCTTCATTCAATGCTTTTTCAGCAAGGTAACTTGCTGAATAATTACTTGACTGAGAAAATGAAATCCCGTGAATACAAACGGTTAAGTTCTTTTTCAACTTTCACGTTGTGAGTCAACATAAAAACCACAGTCCTGGATTCACAGCACATTAAATCCAGAGTAAAATAAGTATATCAAGTTGGAGGCCACTGTGACAAGACCTCACCTCTATCGGATGGCATTTTAGATTCACATCTGCTGAACTTGTTCTGTTGGCTTACCTATTTTCTCACACAACAACCCTTCAGCACTATGAGCAAAATACAACTAATCCCACTTAAGAGAGCTTACTAGACAGAGAGAACAAACACAATGATTCCATTTTCAAAGAGCTGGTTGGCAGAAGTCAGAGTAAGGTCTGGTGAAGTTCTGGCTATTAGAAGCATTTCAAAGAGAAGGAGGTTTTGCCTTTTTTTTTTTTTATTTCCTGGGTCACTCACCCCCCACAAAAGTTTTTTGGGAGAATAGTGGTGGGAAGGGGACTTCTGTGAAATGCCAGGAAAAAGCAGCAAAGACTCTCTCTCTCCATCCCTTTGTTTCTTGCACAAAACCTTACCTTGATCTCAGTGTCCTTCCATTCATACAATCTCCTGGGTGTTTCCTCCTCAATGCTACTGAAGATTCCTACAAATGATTTTTTCCCCCTGTGTTCTCCTCTCCTGTCACTGATTGCCATTTATCTTTCTTTAGTTTCCTCATTGCTAAATATCGCAGGTGTCAAGTTTTTGATTCTGACTGGACAAGCTCTAAATGTTGTCTCTCTCTCTCTCTCTCTCCCTCCCCCCCCCCCACTCCACCCCATCCTTTCTGTTGTTCTACAGGTTTCATTGATTTCATAGTGAAACCAACATTTGCTCTTCTTACTGACTCCATGGAGAAAATAGTTTTTCCTCTTATAGAGGAAGCATCAAAGTCCGAAAGTCCTACCTTTCTGACAGCACCAAGGTTTGAGGTTTTGGGTTGTTGTTGTTTTTTCTTGTTTTCTACCTGAACAATTTAAATTTTTCAGAAACTGCAATGACCCTAATGTAGTATTGCCATCTAGTGGCCCATATTTGCAATTGCTACCTATGGCTTGTATTCTACTCAAGGCAGAAGTATGGAAGTCAAAGAGAGGAGATATGTTGCTTACTCTGCTTGTTGTAGAGTAGTATCTTTACATATAAGTTGTTATGTAGAAAATGTTAAAGGAAGGATTAGGACTTGTGTACAATCTCAAGGCTGATTTTTCTAATCCTGAGCAAATTGCAAAAAAACAACACCGCCTTTTTACTATGTGGATTATTTCCCGTTATTATAATACTATAAACATTGACTTCATATACTTTATCTGTCGTCATCTGAAGTCAAAGGTGAATGCTTTGATTTGATAGCATGAAATACATTTAAAATGAACACCTCTGTTCCATTTTAAAGAAGGGGGAAAGGACTAGACAGGAGTTAGCAGATGCCTTAGTTCTTCTAATCCAGTTTATTTAACCTTCAGTGTTATGTGTTCTTTCCTGGAAATCACTATCATTGAAATCATTGAGGCTTGTTTCTAAACTAAACTTTTCCATTTCTAGTCCTCTGGAAACATATAGGAGAGAAACATGTTAGAATGGTTGCTGTAAAATGTGCCTAGGATTACATCACGGGAATGACTGAATTGATTCCAACTTAGTTGAATTCTGCACTCTGGAATTATGCAACATTTTGGAGTGTACCTAAATTGTGCTGCTTTTGTATTTCCAGGCAGTAATGGCATCTTAATTCTAATCTAACTTTCTCCCCTCTTTGTAGTGAAAATAGTACAGGAAGTACCAGCAGTGATCTACACAAAAAGATAAGTATAAAAAATGCCGCATGTGTTGGTGGGACCTGCTTAGAAAACCCTTTGGCAATGGTGGATTTAAGAAGCTTTAAGGACAACTTGTTCCAGACCATACAGGAAAACAAAGACAGGTGGAAAGATTTAGCAGAAAAAGGTATGTTTTCCCTTGCCAGTTCATCAATAATTTCATCTTTCATCTGTGTTTGTTATATTACCTTGGACATACTAGATAACAAGATTTGCTAGTGGTCATATGGATGAGAAGGACTGACTTCAATATAGCAATTATTCTCTGTATGCACAGTGAAATAGGAACACTCTTTCCCCCCTTTTTTTCCTCTCTTTCTTTTTGCAAAATTGTAGTTAAATCTGCTATTTGTCCGATACTTCAAATGGCTGCATTTATATGTTCAAGCCACTAGATGGTATATAACCACATCTTATACTGTATCTTGTACATCAGACAGAGATGAACTTGGAATTGGAATATAGGTTGAAGAAATGTGCTGAGAATAAAAAGATATCAATGCAATAGACCCAAATGTATATTGTTCATTTGGAAAAATTGATCACCTTGCACAGGTATCATGCTAACAATTGGCTGGGTTATATGTGAAAAGGATTTTGAGATTGGAATGCCAAGTTGAATATAAATCAGCTGAATATGCTTTTGGGTGGCCCAAAAAACCAAATGCAATTTAAGCAACATACATAAGAATGTAGTTTTCAAATCATAGGAAGTTAATGTTGCTCCACCTCCCCTTGGTTCCTATGCTAGGATTCAAAGAAACTGTAAAAGATGGAAAGAAGGTCAGGAAAGAGGAGGGAACTGGAAACTAATTTTATATGAAGAGAATGAGAGGGACTGAGCAAAGTTACTTCGGGGTGGGAGGACAACTAAGGAGAGAGATGATAGCATTCCTCAATTATTTAAAAGGTATCAGCCGGAAGCAGCCAATAAGACAGTATCTGACATCCTAGAATGCATATAATAAACTGTGGGAAGGCAGATTCTGATTGAAAATTAGGAAACTTTTCTTACTAGCAAGAACAATTTAACATTGGAACATTATCAAGTGATAATGGTAAGATTCTCCTTTGCTAGACCTTTTCCTGGATAGACAACAGGATCAGTCAGCAATGGCTTAAATATCCTGTGCAAATATTATGATTGCCTGCAGTGACATGCAAGGGACCATGTAGGTTTCTGACCCCTGATGGGGTAACAATATCAGCTACATTTTTTCTTTTCCCATTCAACACCTTTTAAATTATCCTGCTGTAAGAATACCTCAATTAAGCCAATGATTTTTTTAAAACATAAGTCTTGGTAACTCTATTTGGTTCTGGTACTGGAAGAAAGCCCTGGGCTAAGAATTTTTTAATGGAGGATAACTACCATATTAGGGTTGTGCAGAGTTTTAAAGAAGTGATTCCATTGGAAAAAGAATTTGCTGAAATCAGCTCCTGAATCAAATATTCAAATTGAATCTCTTTCGTTAGTCCTTCAAATACGTTTTGGGAGGTTTCAAGGTGGTTTGGAGAGCCAGTGGACTTTCTGTCTTTGCTGTGTCAAATAATTTTGCAGCTCTCTTTTTTATAAATGGACAAAGCTGGAAGGGGAAAAAAATGCAATGATCAGAGTGACAAGCTGTTCTATACCAGTGTGATTAGTTGATCAATAAATATTATCCTTGAAAATCCTGCCTGGTGATGGTGAGAAATAGTTGTTCCGCTCTCTGTGTCTCAATCCTTCTCCCAAAATCTTTTAAGCTCATTGAGCAAATCAGTTTGCTCAATGAGAAAGAATGAATGAAAGAAAAAAGAGACTCAGATTTATTTTACTGTGCTTTTTCCTAATCTGCTTTGTTCTTTGTTCTTGTAAACTTCTAACTTTGCCAAAATCATAACTTCTTGTGCTTATGTTCCATTTATTTTCAGACTAGTTGTCTGATCTTCAATGAAGTCCCCATAATCTCTGCAGTTCTTCAGCCCTTCCCATTCCTCTGCACCCCCAAATGAAAAACAAATACCATCCCACCCAAATCCTTTCTTCCTTTTCTGCATCTTATCCAAATCTGTTTTACCTTATACTAAGCAGGTTAGTTTAATTGACAGGAGTTTGGGGGAGGGAGGGACAGAACTTGAATCATCACCTCCTAATGCAAATCGTGTGCCTTATGTACTTCCATCCAACTTTGGGCACAAGTACATCAGAAACTTGCCTCCTGATATGATTGTGGATGTGTCATGTTAACGTTATCTTAGTTTGCTGAGGATGCCTATGTGAGCAAGTCTGAGACCGTGTGTTGCCTGTTCAACTATTGGGTAATAAGATGAAGCATTTCATATCATAGTTTATTATGTGGCCAAGAGTAATATTCTGCATACACACAGTTCTCAACTTGTTTTAAAACAAGTCATTATTTTAAAAAGTCATTATTTAAAAAAAAAAAGTTACACAAACTATACATCATTTCCAGAAGAGCCTAGCCTAGCCAATGAACTATATTAATAAGCCTGCCAAATCTGAAAATGAAGTCAATCGAAAGTGGTGGATTCTTCCATCTTTAGTTTTTTGAACAGTTTTCAATCATTTTTATTTTTAAGCTGGACTAGAAGTGGTATGCATTGTTTTAGCACTTCTGTATAGGATCCTTGCTGGACAATTGAAAAGTTGTTTTTTTCTTCTTCAATGTTCTGCTTTAGAACAAATAGATGGGAAATATTTCTACAATCTATTGCCATGAAATCTTTGAAATTTTTGTGCCTAAAATGTTGCAGGACCCTTTAAAGGGTCTACTGAATCTACTGTTTCCATTCCATTCTTTCAAAAATGAAGCAGCTACAGGGATTTTTATGCTTCTCCATTGTAACTTATAGTCAAACCTTTCATCAAATCAACCTTCAAATCAGTTTAAATAGAATGTGGTTGCCAGTAAATCAAAAATTTGAATTGGGCTATCTACAAATCTCACATACTGGATCTTGATTGTTTCCATTCCTTAACATCAATTTGGAAATCTTGGCTACAACTGTAGTCACATTTAATTGGGCCTAATAAAGGTATTCAGAAGAAAACTGTTGAATCTGGATGCGTTTAAGGCAGGCTAGATTTATGGCCCCCTGAATTTTATTGTATTGAAATATTTTATTTACATTGTAGGACATGAGAGAAAAAAATATTTATATTCATACCAAATTGAATGCAGCTCCTACTGTACATAGGAATTTTTCTTCCCTACAAAAGAGGCCTCTTTTGAAAGTATTGTAATAAACAAAATTTCAAGATAACTCGGGGGGGGGGAGGTTGGACAATATACATTCTTAATCTATGAGTAGCCAATTGCCTTTTAATATATATATATATTCTTTTTCCTGTCCTGTACTCATAAAACACTAGAATTCACTGCATCCTCCCTTAGAAGGTTCACTGGACCCCAGAATGTTACCTGGATCCCTGATTGTGATATGGGTTAGAATAGGGGTCCCCAACCTGTGGGCCGCAGCCCATTAATGGTCCGTGAGGGGTTTGCAGCTGGGCTGTGAAAATGGCTGGCAAGTGAGCATGCATGCAAGTGCATCCTCTCTTGTGTGAGCAGCGGGCAAACACATGTGCGCACACTCCACTTGTGTGAGCATCAGGCCCGCATGCACACTTCTTACACAAATGGACCTGCATGCACGTGCACTTGTCAGCCGCTTATGTGAACCACCCCCTCCCCACCTTCCCACGCCAGTGTGCAAAGCTTGAAAGGTTGGGGAACTCTGGGTTAGAGTTAATTAAAAAATAGATAATATGGAAGTTGTGAGCCTTTGTGTTGCTGTAAATATGCACAGTGGCTCTTTTCCCATTTTTTTAAGTAATCAAAATCATCAAGAAAGCAAACTTCCCTTTCCTCCAAATTGTGAACACAATTCTCCCTTTTCTGATCAGTTTAAAGTGATTCCCATTCGTGAACAGGGGCAAATTCAAAGTGTATAGTATGTTTGTGTGTATGTACACATGGTCATATAGTTATGCCAGTGTGTTAAACTAAGGGGATCTTTTAGTTAAATGTTATAGTTTGCTTTAGATGATGCTCTACTAGACAGGTAAGAGGTAGAAAAATCCACTCTCATAGACACTGTGAAGGAGAAATTTGCTATTGGCTATGTGACTGTATTTGTTGGGAGTTAATATCCCAAATTATTGGAAAGCGCCAGATTGGTTGAAATAGGCCTTGGGTCTGAAATCCAGCATGTTTGGTCTTATTTTAGTAACTGAACATAATAAGCACAGGACCCCCAGCCATGTATTTAAAATAAGAGTGGCCAGACACATCCTAGGAAAATGCCACACATGATACAGCATATATAATATATACAGTATAAATATATGCAGTATATACAATATAAATATATACAGTATATATAGTAGTATATAGTATATAGGGTTTGTGTGCATGTGTGTATGTTAGTACACACATATATATAGCATATTGTGTACAAACACACACACACATACAGTACACAGTATATATACATTTCAGCCATTTGTCTGAAATGGTATAGGGTTTCCTGCCTGAGCAAAGGGTTGGAGTAGATGACCTCCAAGGTCCCTTCCAACATTATTATTATTATTATTATTATTATTATTATTATTATTATTATTATTAGTAGTAGTAGTAGTAGTAGTAGTAAAATATATACAGTATATGTGCATGTTATTTCCTTTCAGTAGAAGAATTTGTGCAAAGAGATGGGGGGGCAGGGAAAGAAAGCAGAAAGGTCAAAGCAGACATGTCTCAGACCTACTGTTAGAAGAGGGACCAACAAAGATATCAAGGGGAAAGAATCAGGAATCTGATGATTCTACAATGTTTTTCAATAAACTGATCCCACTTCTCGGTAGTCCTTCAAGTGCATCTTCTTGGTTCTCTTCCCAATGCATTTGAACTCTCAAGACTGCTGCTAAATTGCCTATGAATACAAAAAAAAAAAAAAAATCTGACAATATAAATGAAAAAATGCACCTGAACATCCCACTAAATGGTAAAGCCATCTACTCAGCCACCCTAACATTCATTATCATTTCTGAATTCATAGGTCATTGTCTTGTTTCAAGCCCAATTATGCCCTAGGTACAACAATGACAAATAATCTTTAGTGTGTAAGTACTAGCCAGCGTAATCGCAGCAGAGGGCCACAGTATCTGAAGGAAAGCTCTTTTTGTTATCTTTATGCTTGAGCCCTAGATCTCTTCCAAGATTCCTGTTCTTATTTTCTCCTGTGCTAGATTTTGGTAGGTGGCTGTGCAGAAATAGACCTTTTTGGTGGTGGCCTCACAGCTTTGTCATGCATCCCAGGCATTTAATTTGTTCCCTTTCAATGTCAAGCAGGGAAGTTCTTTTTCCTGGGTTTTCTCATCTAATTTATTTAAAGTTATTTATTTGTTAATAATATGTTATGCTGCAATGGCAATTTTTATCTATTTTTATTTCTGTAGTTCTTGTTCTTGAAAACCATGTTGTATATTTTAACTATTCATTTCTTGCCAAGGTATTGATTTAACAGCTTATGTAATGTAAGATTTAAGATGTACTGATGGGAATGACTCAGCAGGGTCTGTGTCTCTTTAAGAGCCTTTGTATAAAGGGAAGGCTCCATTGATGTGTTCTCTCTCTTCCATTTCCTGCTATAACTGTGGTTTGTTGGATCCTGCTGTATTAGGACGTGTATGTATATTGTTCCTAGTGTATGATATTGTAGATAGTGTAAAATAAACCACTATTTAATATAGACCACTGTTTACTGTGTGTACTCCTGGGTTATCTCACGTAATAACACTGCACACTCTTAACATTTCTCTTTTTAAAAAAACTATAAGGTTGAAGTGTTGGTAAGTTGCATTGGAAAACTTGGAATATTTCCTACAATGCCAGCAAATTTGTTACAGTTCTTGTTCTCTTTTAAAATACTTTTCATGCCCTTGGATTTACTCCAAAGAGTGCATAAACTAGGGGTTTTTTTATGTTACTAGTTATCTGTGCATAGAGTTCAATAAGATTATTTTATTAAAAAAAACAATGATAATGACATATTTAGCTGAGACTATTTGGAAGTAAGCCCCATTGACATCAAGAAGAAGACCTTCTTCCCAGAGAAGGAAATGACTGCACACTTGTCATTTGTTGAATGTCAAATCTTTTGAGACACCATGGTAACCTTTTCTAGGTAAATAGTAAGGATTGCCACCTTTTTATGGCTGATCCATTCACTTTCTATTAGAAAGTACCTCCCCTTAATTGCAGGCATTTAATATCATTAGAGTCCCTTGGGCAAAGTCATTTGTACTAAAAAGACGACTTGGGTTCCATTGCTAATTTACATTAATTTGAGGAGAAGCATCCCTATACGAGAAGCTGCAGAAAATTGCATTTCATTATCTTGGAAGGTTATGTTGCTTGCATGGTGTGAGAGAAGGCTCTTGATAATGCACTATCATAATTAGCTTGGATTAGAACTAATAAAAGCATCTGGATGCATTCTGGAAGAAATGTTCATTATATAGCTGATCTCCAGGGAAATAATTGTTGGTAGATGTAAACCAGTCCTTTATAGTGTAGTTATTTATGTTTAACATATCATATCCTAGTAAATTTAGGACAAAGCCTTGGAACTGACTTGGTGAGGTGATTTACTCTATCTTAAATCTATTTGATTACTTTCAGTGGGACAAGGGAAATTTACATCTTCCAAGGAATTTAAATGTAGCAACATTTTTTTTCCCAGTTAACATTCCTTAACTCAGGCAGCTTTCAGAGCTATACTAAGGTGAGGAATAAGAAGAACCTATAGACATATCAAAGCATTTCTTGTATGCATAAAAGTTGGGAGACAGGTCTTGCTGAGGCTGTTTTTAAATAACATGACATGTACTCAAGCAAGACAGGGAAATTAATTTAATTGACATCCCTTTAAATAACTGATACTTTTAAAATTCCAGGAAAAAATATAATGCAAATAGTATGCTGAGAAAAAAGTACTTTAGGAAATCTTTTTTTTTTCCACCTCATTCACTTGTTATGTAGTTTACACGTGCAAATCTAGACCATCCAATCAAAATGTATAAGGGAGTGATCTTGAAGGACAGAGAGAAAATCCACTACCAAGACAATGATCAGATAAACAAGACTTGAACCCAAGTCAAGGAAGTGGTTTATGAAAACGCCTCAGCAAGCCCCCCTCCCTTCCATTTTCATTAGAAAAAGGAAGGAAGGAAAGCAGATCCAGACTTGTGAGATGCCACTGCTATAGCTGTTGTAATAGAAGATTTCCATGGTGTCTGTTTCTATTTGATCTATCTGACCTGGGACCTGAAGCAAAATGTTGCGGCCTGAAGTTCTCCCATTTAAGGTTCCAACTCACGCTGCCAGACTCTTTCAAGAACTCTATCCTTTTCCACGTTTTCTCCATGGAAGACAGCGCTGCTCCTTCAGTGCTCCCCTCACTCTGTTTTTAAGGCCGTGTTTTTTTCTCTTTCCTCAGGGATGAATTCATTGGACTGCCTGTGGCCACTGAGTTGCATGACCAGGGCTACATTCCAAAGACTGGGAGGAGCCTCAACAAAAGTATGGGTGTAGCCAGGACAAAAACAAAATTTAATTTAAATTCAGGCTTAATTGAATAAATCTAATTTCAGGCACATTGGCAGCTGCTTGCTCCAACAATAATTCTTTGGCAGAGTTCTGAAAGAGCTCACCTTAGCAAGACATACTGAAAGGAATAAGGTTCACAAATTTCAACAGGTGAACCACATTCAGTTAGAAGCAATATATATATATATATATATATATATATATATATATATATATATATATATATATATATATATATATACAATATATTGTATAAATTACAATCTACAATACAACATATTATATAGATTACAATCCACAATACAATATATTGTATAGATTACAATATACAGTACAATCCATGCTCGGCATTACAAGACAAGATAGAAAGACCTGCACGTGGATTAGAGAACAAAAGGAAGTATACAATATCATCAAGGGAGTAAAAGAACTGAAATGGAAATGGGCTGGACACATAGAAGAACTGATGTCAAATGGACCAAGGCAGTCATAGAATGGATCCCACTCAATAAAAAGCGTCCGCGGAAGAGACCTAAAACAAGATGGATTGACGGCATCAGCAAGTATTGTGGGCCCAACTGGCAAAAGAAAGCTCAGGACTGTATTGGTTGGAAACATGCGGAAGAGGCCTTCATCCTGCAGTGGGTAGACAATGGCTAAAATGATGATGATGTTGATACATACACATACACAGGCAGAGATTTTCTAATTCTCTTTCTCACAGCTTTGCTATGAACTGGTCAGCAGTTTGTTCTTTAAAGAAAAATCTCTTGAATCTTGATCTCTTACAATTTTCATACTTTTCTGGGGGCTACACCCAAGATTTTTGTGGAGAACATGTGCCCAGGGTCTCAGATTATACTCCTCTGCTCTAACCACTGAGCCACACAGGTCACACAGTACCAAATTAAGATGAGCAGCACATAGACCTGTTTATAGCAGTTTCTTGTTTTTGAATTTCAGGTGAGCCTAATCTCAGTGAAAATTCTGAAGAGCCACTGAAAGAGCCAGAACGGGGTGATCTGTGCAGCTAGGTCAATGGTACCTTCATTGTTTCTGCTGATTTTCAGACTAAGAGGTAAGTTATCCTAGTTCTTCTCTAAACATGGTTACCTTCCTTTCCTCCTCTATGCTTCCAAGAGGAGAAGGATTTACTTTGTTACAAGAATAAACCTTTACTATGAAATATATAGAAGGTCTTATTATTGCAGTGCTTTTCTGCACACTAGGAAAAGGGAGTGAAGCTAAGGTCAAGATTTTCCATCATCATCATCACCACCACCACCATCATCCAGTCCCTAGCATCTTATAATCCGTATTCATATTCATGATCTCTACACTTTAAGCTGTGATCAATGGTAGCAAAAAAAAAAAAAAAAAAACAGGTAAAGTTTGGCAGCACCTTTTCCAACAAACACATCTTACTTTGTTGCTCTAAATTTAATAAATGTCACCAATTTGCTGATGTTTTCCAAACTCCTCCCTCAGCTGGGAAAGATGCTGTTTTTAGGCTTGTATCGTTTGAGAAAAGCTTACTGCGAGTGAATCCCCTTGGTAGTCCCTGACTTATCCCATGCCAGGTGCAAACCTCCGTTATCTGAGCCAACAATCAGTTCCAAGTCCAACCAACCTTAAAGGTATGCCATTCAAGGAGACAGCTAGATCAGACATGTCAAACTCGCAATGTCACGTGATGTATCAGAATTTTTCCCCCATTGCCGGCAATAGGGTGGGCACGGTTTCCTCATGACGCATCTGGCCCATAGGCCATCAGCTTAACACCCCTGAGCTAGATGATGCCTGGAGGGCTCTTACCCAGGAT